AAACAAGAAAGTTCAGTTGCCTTTTGGAAAAAAATAAAACCTTTTGACCTGGATGATAAAAGAATCTGCACAGACATTTTATTCTGCAGAAGCTTCTCAGAAGAAGAGATTTATCAGGGGAAAAAAAAAAGGCAACGAAGCAAAAGATCAAATCAAACCTTGGGGTTATTTTTAATCCATCCGTGGTGATAAGAAATGCAAAACACATTTAAAAAAACAAAACAAAACACCATGGGAAAATCTTACAAAGAAGAGTGTTTACTCACACCCAGCCTTTTCTCTGCTACAAGCTACACGCTAAAATGCTGCCAGATAGGGAATTATTTTTTTTTTAAAAGCATGTTCTTTAAAGCGAGTCCCTCGTGCAGGACTCTCAGCTTCCAGAAAACAGCTTTGATTTTGCTTTAAGTGCTTTAATGTTTAACGACCGTGCAAGGACAGCAACTGGAACAATCTTGAAAGCAGCTCTTATATATAGCTCTTCCAATCGATGCTAACTGCTTCCAGGCCTGACCACCATAAATAGGAGGTAACAATTACAGCCATTATAAAAACAATAACTTCCACTTATCCATATATATATGTTGGCATCTCAACGCAAGAGGGAGCAGCCTCATTGCTTATTTGTTCCCAGGGTCTGCTGGAAGAGCCAAGAGTTTATCAGCAATCTTAAAACCTAACTGAGTGATTATGCGCCATCAACCTGTTGTTGACTCTTCGCAACTAACCTAGATAGATTTTCTCCATGATGGTCTATCTCTCACCTGGTCCTTCAGACCAGGGAAACCCAGTCTATCCACCCGGCTTTTAAAACACAGCAAGCACATAATAGGCCGTTTAGATCTATGAATATAAGTCAGGGGTCTTCAAACTTGGCCCCTTTATGACTGGTGGACTTCAACTCCCAGAATTCCTGAGCCAGCATGGGGGAACTATGGCCAATTCATGACTCACGGACTTCAACTCCCAGAATTCCTGAGCCAGCATGGGGGAACTATGGCCCCCTTCATAACTCGCGGACTTCAACTCCCAGAATTCCTGAGCCAGCATGGGGGAACTATGGCCCCTTCATGACTCGTGGACTTCAACTCCCAGAATTCCTGAGCCAGCATGGGGGAATTATGACCCCTTCATGACTCGCGGACTTCAACTCCCAGAATTCCTGAGCCAGCATGGGGGAACTATGGCCCCTTCATGCCTTGTGAACTTCAGCTCCCAGAATTCCTGAGCCAGCATGGGGGAATTATGACCCCTTCATGACTCGCGGACTTCAACTCCCAGAATTCCTGAGCCAGCATGGGGGAACTATGGCCATGACTTCCAGACTTCAACTCCCAGAATTCCTCAGCCAGCATGGTGGAACTATGGCCCCTTCATGACTTGCAGGCTTCAACTCCCAAAATTCCTGAGCCAGCATGCCTGGCTGAGGAATTCTGGGAGTTGAAGTCCACAAGTCATAAAAGGGCCAAGCTGGAGGACCCCTGGTATAAGTAGTCCTCTACTTACACCCACAGCTGAGCCCAACATTTCTACCGCTATGCAAGACAGCCGTGAGTTTTTCCCCCATTTTATGGCCTTTTCTTGCCATCGTTGTTAAATGAATCCCTGCAGTTATTAAGTTAGTAACAGAGTTGTGAAGTGAATCCAGCTTCCCCCGTTGATTTTGCATGTCAGAAGGTTGCAAAAAGGAATCACCAGACCCCGGGATCTGGCGACCGTCATAAATATGAGGCAGTTGCCAAGGACCTGCATTCTGATCACGTGACCCTGGGGACGCGGCAGCAGTCATTGTGTGTGAAAATTGGTCATAAGTCACTTTTTTCCCCAGCGCTCTTGTAATTTCACACAGTAACTAAACAAATTAGCTGTACAAAATTACCAATACAGGTCGACCTCCATTTATGAGCACATTGGGACTGACACTTCCGTCGCTAAGCGAGGTGACTGCTAAAAGCGAGTCGCGCCCAGTTTTCCAACGTTTGACAGTTGCTCAGTGAACTGCTGCAGTCACTAAGCGAATCGTGCAGTCATTAAGCGAATCTAGCTCCCCCTCTGACTCTGCTTATTGGTTGGGAAGCTTGCAACAGGTGACCAGGCATTCTGCAACTGTTTTAAACACATGCCAGTTGCCAAGTGCACGGATTCTGATCGCGTGACCATGGGGATGCTGCAACTGTCGTAACTGCGAGGACTGATTTGGAGTCACTTTATTCAGTGCTGTCCCAAAGGTGCTTTTTTCAAGAGTCAACTGGATGTTCTTGTTTTTCCTTTGAAGACGTTTCGCTTCTCATCCAAGAAGCTCCTTCAGCTCTGACTGGAGGGCGGGGAATGGAAAGATTTATACTCCTTGCAGACAACTGGTCATTTGCCTTCTTTTAATGCCACGACCCCCAACCGGCCGTAAGTCAAGGACTACTCAACCGGTCGTAAGTCGAGGATTACCCAACTGGTGCAGCACCGTTTGCAGAATGGGGCTTTTGGCGGGCTCAGCAGGGCAGAGACAGCCTGGACAATTCCTATTGGCTTTTGAAAGAATTAGACTCTATTCAAGAGAGTCTATTCTATTGGCTTTCAAAAGCCAATAGAATAAAAGGGAGTAGCACAGCTAAGGAAAAGGGGGGAAAAAAATGGCGGACTGCATTGTTTGGTGACCCCCGTGAAATGGTCGTTCGACCCCAGATGGGGTCCCGACCCACAGGTTGAGAACCACTGTTTTAGAGAGAGTGATTGAGGCCACCTGGAAGATTATCTGTGTCCTGAGTAGTGCAAATGGGTGTGGAGCCTTCTTCTAGTAACTACAACACAGTCCTTTCCATAGTTCCAAGAAGGCTTCACACCCATCTGCACCACTCAGGTGATCCTGAGGACACAGATAAACCTCCAGGTGGCCTCAACGACTCTCTAGCTAGAAAGAATGCAAATGACCGGCTATCTGCGAGGAGTATAAATCCTTCCATTTTCCCCACCAGCCAGTCAGAACTGAAGAAAGCTTCTGGGATGGGAAGCAAAACGTCTTCAAAGAAAAACAAGAAAGTCCATCAAACATCAACACCTGCCTATTCCCACGTCTTTGGGAAAAGCTCAACAGGCAGACAAAAATGCCCAAATCCAGTTTGAACATTTGGTGGGCCGTGCAACGAATTACAGTAGAGTTCCCCAGCCTTTTGAGATTGGCGGCCTGGAACAGGGAGAGGGTGTGAAAGGAGGAATGGTTTTGCGTGTGTGTGTGTGTGGGTAAATGCATGCACGCGGCTGCACTAAAACACCCATTGCTCACGTGAATGGGGCTGTGGGCGCGGGCGCGCCGCCTGTGACGCTCGTGGTGATGCAACTGTTGGTGGTGGGGCAGGTTTGATTAAAGCAGGAATGCTCTAAAGCAGTGGTTCTCAACCTTTTTAATGCCGCGACCCCCAACCGATCGTAAGTCGAGGACTACTCAACCAGTCGTAAGTCGGGGACTACTCAACTGGTGCAGCACCGTTTGCAGAAGGGGACTTTTGGCGGGCTCAGCAGGGCAGAGACAGCCTGGACAATTCCTATTGGCTTTTGAAAGCCAATAGAATTAGACTCTATTCAAGAGAGTCTATTCTATTGGCTTTCGAAAGCCAATAGAATAAAAGGGAGTAGCACAGCTAAGGAAAAAGGGGGGGGGGGAATGGCGGACTGCGTTGTGTGGTGACCCCTGTGAAATGGTCGTTCAACCCCAAATGGGGTCCCGACCCACAGATTGAGAACCACTGCTCTAAAATATAACCCTGTTCTATTTCCTAAGAGTTATCTATTTCCCACCCTATTAAATCCTCTACTTAATAACACAATATCCCCTTTAATAAATAAAAAAAAACCATTGTATATGTTGCCTAGATTAATCAATAAATCAAACATATTCGTAGTGTTTAATTTTCTCTTCCTATTTGGCCAGGTTTGGTTAAAGCAGGAATGCTCGAAAAAGCAGCCAGTCAGAGCTGAAGAAGCTTCTGGGATGAGAAGCGAAACGTCTTCAAAGGAAAAACAAGAAACTGCAGGAGCCTCCTGGAAAAGCACCTTTGGGACAACCAGGATGACCTGGAGCAGGGCTTTTCAACCCGTGGTATGGGTACCACCTGTGGCACATTGGCACCTGGCAGGTGGTACACGACCATCCTAAAAAAGTGGTAGCGGGGGAGGGGAAATGAGCTGAACCGGTGGCAGCACCACACAAGCCTGAACAAGAGATGGCTGGAGCTGCAGGGCTGTCAGGACTCAGCGGAAGCGCCAGGATCAGTGCTGCTTTCCAGCTGATCGGCGCTTCTTCGGGGCTGTCAGGGCTCAGCGGAAGCGCCAGGATCAGTGCCAGGCTCCAGCTGGAGCTCAGCGCTGATCCTGGTGCTTCTGCTGAGCCCTGAAGAAGCACCAATCAGCTGGAATGTTGCAGCCTCTCCAGGGTCTTGTGATTTACATTCAGATGCTTGGCAACTGATTCATATTTATGACGGTCACAGTGTCCCAGGGTCATGTGAAGTGACCAAAACCTACTGCAACCACCCAGCTGATGGGGGGGAATAAAAACCAAACACCCCCCCACCCCACCCCCCCTGCCAATCCCCAACAGAAATGCTCACAACAATGGAAACCTTGGACAGGAGGAAGAGCACCACCGGGTGGGCAGGCAGGTGTCTTGCTCGGCTGTGGCTTGGGGGGCACCTTTTTCAGTGCCACTGTAACTTTGAACAGTCACTAAGCGAACTGTTGTAAGTCGAGGACTACCTGTACTTCATCACTTTTTTCCTCTTTTTTTTTTGTCATCAAGTTTTTGACACCTTGCTAGGCGCCTGGTGGTCCTCAGATGTGGCCGTATCCTAAAAGTGGTACAATGGGTGAAGAGGTTGAAAAGCCCTGACCTGGAGGACTGGGAATCTCCATGGACATTTATTCAGTGCTACTGTAGCTTTTCACCGGTCATTAAACGAATGGTGATGAGTTTGAGGACTGCCTGCAGAATGTAGGATGGGGAGCCGTACCTGCCAAAGATCATCTTGCCATGTTGATCTCTTGCCTGCTTCTCGCTGCTCTGTGTGCAGTGGAAAGCTGTGAGCTCTCTGGTCTGCCCCATCTCCTTCGGCTGCGGTAGCAAAAGGTCCGGGGTCCCCTGCCGACTGACCAGGCCCACCAAGTTGGAAGACGCTTGGGTCTTGGGGATTTTGAAAGGAGCCGTTGCCTATAGAAGAAGAAAAATAAAAATAAAATAAAATAAAATAATAAAGGGGCCTTCCTGAATGTTTAATTACAGACGATCCTCGATTTACGACCACAATGGAGCCCAAAAACTCTGTTGCTAAGTGAGACGTTTGTTCAGTGAATTTGGCTCTGTTTTACGACTTCCCTTGGCCCGGCTGTTAAGTGAAATCACCGCCGTTAAGTTAGTAACAGGGTTGTGAAATGAGTCTGGTGTTCCCCTCGTCGGAAGGTCGCAAAAGTCGCGTGACCCCGGGACACTGCGACCGTCGTAAATATGAGTCGGATGCAAAGGGTTTGATTTTGGATCCCCTGATCATGGGGAGGCTGTAGTGGCTGTAAGTGTAGTAGTAGTAGTAGTAGTAGTAGTAGTAGTAGTAGTAGTAGTAGTAGCAGCAGTAGTAGTAGTAATAATAATAATAATAATAATAATAATAATAATAATAATAATAATAATACCAATAGTCATAGGCTCCTTGGGTGCAATCCCAAAACAACTGGAGCACCACTTGAACACCATTGGCATTGACAAATTTGCTATTAGTCAATTGCAAAAGGCGGCCTTATTAGGAACTGCTTCCATCCTGCGACGATATCTGTAATACCATCAACATCCACATCTGCCTATCCCAGGTCCTGGGTAAGGACTCGATAGGTAGACAAAATGCCAAATCCAGTCTGAACATCTGGCTGACTGTGCGATGATCGATAATAATAATAATAATAGTAATGATGATGATGATGATAAATTAAACTGCTCTGGGACGTCAGAATTCAAACAGACAAGCACCTGCAACATAACACCCCAGACTTAACAATTGTCGATAAGAAAGACAAAAAAGTCTGGATAGTGGACGTGGCAGTGCCTGGAGACAGCAGAATAGAAGAGAAAGAACTGGAGAAGATCACAAAATACAAAGACTTACAAACAGAAATAGAAAGACTGTGGCAAAAGCAAGCAAGGGTAGTATCAATAGTGATAGGGCACGCGTGCCTTGCTCTTTGGCTAAGTTTTTGCAGGAAAAAGCCATTTCTCAAGCCCCTACGTAGCCAAAACAAGCCTCCGGAGCAACCGCGCTGTTTTCAGCTTTGAATTATATCAAATCTGACACCAGAAACAGACTAACAGATGACCTGAGTGCTGTGTGTGTTGCTCTCAAAACTTACAAAGTATGAGCCAAGGTTAGACAAATTATCAGCATGCATACAACAGCAAAAATAACATTAATTGTTCAAAAGTAGGCCAAATGCAAACTTTTACCTTTCAGTAAAAAGTTGTTGATATCATTGAAAGGTTTGTTATTGTGTTCTTCTTTTAAGACAAAAGATGTTAATGTATGAGTTGTTTTTTCTAAACAAAAACCTCAAGTATTCAGATTAAATTGCCGTGTTGGCACTTTGCGATAAATAAGTGGGTTTGGGGTTGCAGTTTGGGCACTCGGTCTCTAAAAGGTTCACCATCACTGCCCTGCACCATTTTGGACAAATGGCTGTCCAGTCTCTTCTTAAAAACTTCCAGTGTTGGAGCTTTCACCGCTTCTGGAGGCAGGTTGTTCCACTGGTTAATTGTTCTCAGTGTCAGGAAATTCCTCCTTAGTTGCTTCTCTCCTTGGTTAGTTTCTATCCGCTGCTTCTTGTCCTGCCTTCAGGCACTTTAGAGAAGAGCTTGACTCCCTCTTCTTTGGGGCAGCCCCTTAGAGATTGAAACACTGCTATCCTGTCCCCCCTCGTCCTTCTCTTCATTAAACTAGACGTCATAAGTCACTTTTCTCAGCACTGCTGATTTCGGTCACTAAATGAACTGTTATAACTTGAGGACTACCTGTAGTTACGTGGACAGGGTCACAGTCCCTTTAAACCTTCAGAAGAAGCGCTGAACTGATTTAGCTTCCACTTGACATAGGTTGGTTGGTGGTGAAGCCGCTGGCCTATGTTACATGCGCTCCCGAGTTTCGCTTATGGTTCCTCACCCACAAGGCTGAGCGCCAAAGAATGGAGGCCTTTGAACTCTGGTGCTGGAGAAGACTCCTGTGAGTCCCCTGGACTGCAAGGCGATCAAACCGGTCAATCCTAGAGGAGATCAACCCCGACTGCTCTTTAGAAGGCCAGATCCTGAAGTTGAAACTCAAGTATTTTGGCCACCTAATGAGAAGGAAGGACTCACTGGAGAAGAGCCTGATGCTGGGAAAGATGGAGGGCAAGAGAAGAATGGGACGACAGAGAATGAGGGGGCTGGATGGAGTCCCTGAAGCAGCAGGCGTGAGCTTAAAGGGACTCCAGAAGATGGCAGAGGACAGGAAGGCCTGGAGGAACGTTGTCCATGGGGTCGCAATGGGTCGGATACGACTTCGCAAGTAACAACAACAACACTCACCCACACTCACTGCCATGGTCAATAGCCACACTCAAATCATTCCCAAGTGAACACTGAGGCCCAACCAGTTTTTTAGAATAGACAAGAGATCCAGTTGAACTTAAAATTAACAGCAAAACTTTACTGATTACAATGTACATTATAATTGCAGTAACTACAATAGGAGCTTGGAGTCCTAGTGGACAATCGCTTAAAAAGGAGCCAGCTGTGTGCTGCAGCTGCCAAAAAAGCCAACACACTGCTAGGCTGCATTAACAGAGGGACAGAATCAAGATCACATGAAGTGTTAATACCACTTTACAAGGCCTTGGTAAGGCCACCCTTGGAATACGGCATCCAGTTTTGGTCGCCACGATGTAAAAAAGATGTTGAGACTCTAGAAAGAGTGCAGAGAAGAGCAACAAAGATGATCAGGGGACTGGAGGCTAAAACATATAAGGAACGGTTGCTGGAATTGGGTATGTCTGGTCTAATGAAGAAAGGGATGAGGGGTGACACGATAACAGTGTTCCAATATCTGAGGGGCTGCCCTAAAGAAGAGGGAGTCAAGCTATCCTCCAAAGCGCCTGAAGGCAGGACAAGAAGCAACGGATGGAAACTGACCAAGGAGAGAAGCAACCTAGAACTAAGGAGAAATTTCCTGACAGTGAGAACAATTAACCAGTGGAACAACCTGCCTCCAGAAGCGGTGGGTGCTCCATCACTGGAAGTTTTTAAGAAGAGACTGGACAGCCATGTGTCTGAAATGGTATAAGGCAGGGGTAGGCAACCTTGGCTCTTTTATGACCCGTGGACTTCAACTCCCAGAATTCCTGAGCCAGCATGGGGGAACTTTGGCTTCTTCATGACTCGTGGACTTCAACTCCCAGAATTCCTGAGCCAGCATAACTCAGCATGGCAGCCTCTCCCTTTCCCCTCAGCATGGCTGGCTCAGGAATTCTGGGAATTGAAGTCCACGAGTCATAAAAGAGCCAAGGTTGCCTACTCCTGGTATAGGGTCTCCTGCCTGAGCAGGGGGCTGGACTAGAAGACCACCAATGTCCCTTCCAACTCTTGTTATTCTGTTTCATTAGCTCTGTCCCACCTACACACAGACACTCAACCACACTTACCCACATCTTTCTCAACGAGGCTGTTAGGCAGTAACCAGAGATACAGATGCCACCAAGTCTGGCTCTAAAAGTGGGTGAGCTCCAAGACGCCTCTTATTCCCTCAAAGGCCTTGCTTTGTCTGTTCTCAAGGTTGGCAGTTCCATTTGCCTTGTGGATTCTCAAGTCTGGGAGCTGTGGGTGGGATGTGGGGAGGGGCTTCCCATGTGCTCAGGCTTCAAGCCTTGTCTGGGTCAGGTGATTTTTCTTCCTTTGTCTCCTTAATGACTTGTCTCCTTCTTATCTATCCATCCCCTGAAGGGATCTTTTAGACAAGCCGGGCTTGGCTTCCTGGTTATCTGCCTGCTTCATCTTTAGGGATGGCAGCTGCAGTCTAGTCTCACAAGCAGAAACCAGGAGACGGTGAGTTCTAGTCCTGCCTTAGGCCTGAAAGCCAGCTGGGTGACTTTGGGCCAATCACCAGGAGACAGTGAGTTCTAGTCCTGCCTTAGGTGTGAAAGACAGCTGAGTGACTTTGGGCCAATCACCAGTTCTAGTCCTGCCTCAGGCACAAAAGCCAATTGGGTGACTTTGGGCCAATCACCAGGAGACTGTAAGTTCTAGTCCTGCCTTAAGCATGAAAGGCAATGGGGTGACTTTGGGCCAATCACCAGGAGATGGTGAGTTCTAGTCCTGCCTTAGGCACAAAAGCCAATGGGGTGACTTTGGGCCAATCACCAGGAGACTGTAAGTTCTAGTCCTGCCTTAGGCATGAAAGCCAATGGGGTGACTTTGGGCCAATCACCAGGAGACTGTAAGTTCTAGTCCCGCCTTAGGCACGAAAGCCAACTGGGTGACTTTGGGCCAATCACCAGGAGACTGTACGTTCTAGTCCTGCCTTAGGCATGAAAGGCAATTGGGTGACTTTGGGCCAATCTCCAGGAGACGGTGAGTTCTAGTCCCGCCTTAGGCGTGAAAGACAGCTGAGTGACTTTGGGCCAATCACCAAGAGACTGTAAGTTCTAGTCCTGCCTTAGGCACGAAAGGCAATTGGGTGACTTTGGGCCAATCACCAGGAGGCGGTGAGTTATTAGCTACTTTCAGGTTTCAAGTGGCCAGATATTACAGGTGGTCCTCAACTTACAACAGTTCATTTAGTGACCATCTGAAGTTACAGGTAGTCTTCGACTTACAACAGTTCATTCTTATGATTGTTGCAGCATCTCCGTAGTCAGGTGATCCAAGATTTGGACGCTTGGCAACTGGCATGAATTTATGACAATTGCACTGTCCCAGGGCCCCTGGATCCCCTTTTGCGACCTTCTGACAAAGCAAAGTCAGTGGGAAAAGTCAGATTTGTGCAACGACTGCACGATTCACGAAATAACTGCAGTGATTTGCTTAACCACTCTGGCAAAAAGGGCATAAAATGGGGCAGAATCCATGAACAACGGCCTCACTTAACGATGGAAATGTTGGGCTCAATCTTTGTCGTATGCGGAGGACTGATCACCTGTACTAAAACTAAGGCAACAGTTTAGGAATATTAAAACAATGCTTTAAAAATGTCCAAGTTCAAAGCCTGGTTGTGTAACTGCGAATAACAACTAAAGTCTAAGATTTAGCACAGCTTTTTGTCCAACCTTGCTTCCCCCAAACCAAAACACCACCCCATATATAAAAATAAACTTTAGGTGCTCTCTGATGCTCTGTTGCCGAATACTTCCTGAAAATAAAGCACCCTTTTACAACCACTTGGAAAAAGATATGTAACCCACCATTGTCACCTAGGTGTAAAGCAGGAACCTGGTGAGGCAGGAGCCAATGGTTTGGGGATTCAGAGACAATGGCTATCTCAACATTAAGCAAGCGTCTCCCAAATAATAATAATAATAATAAGTACATCAGATGGTTGAAGAAGAAAAAATGGCTTTGGAAGAATATCTGAAGAACAATGATGAAGATGCACTGAAATTAGTATATCAGGAAGGCTTGCTGACTATTGGAGAGACCAAACTGGCCTACAAGAAAGACCAAATGAAGAACAGAATAGAGGCATGGGAAGACAAAGCACTACATAGCCGATACGTTAAAAAAATAGCTGGGAAAGCAGATAATAACAAGACCTGGCAATGGCTAAGAGCAGGAAAATTGAAGAAAGAGACCGAGGGACTAATTCTGGCTGCACAAGACCAAGCCTTAAGGACAAATGCATACAAAGTCAAAATTGAGAAGACAGCAACAGACAGTAAGTGCCGCCTATGCAAAGAAGCTGAAGAAACAGTGGACCACTTGGTAAGCTGTTGCAAGAAGATTGCACAAACTGATTACAAGCAGCGGCATGACAAAGTAGCAACAATGGTGCATTGGAAGATCTGCAAAAAATATCATTTGCCTGTAAGCAAAAACTGGTGGGATCATAAAATAGAGAAAGTCATAGAAAATGATAAAATTAAACTGCTCTGGGACTTCAGAATTCAAACAGACAAGCACCTGCAACATAACACCCCAGACTTAACAATTGTCAATAAGAAAGACAAAAAAGTCTGGATAGTGGACGTGGCAGTGCCTGGAGACAGCAGAATAGACGAGAAAGAACTGGAGAAGATCACAAAATACAAAGACCTACAAATAGAAATAGAAAGACTATGGCAAAAGCAAGCAAGGGTACTACCAATAGTAATAGGCTCCTTGGGTACAAAATGCCCAATCCAGTCTGAACATCTGGCTGAATGTGCGACGATCCCTAATAATAATAATAAAGTTGGAGAGGTCATCTAGTCCAACCCCCTGCTCAGGCAGGAAACCCTGTACCATTTCAGACAAATGCTTGTCCAGTCTCTTATTAAAAACTTTCAGTGTTGGAGCATTCACCGCTTCTGGAGGCAGGTTGTTCCACTGGTTAATTTTTCTCACTGTCAGGAAGTTTCTCCTTAGTTCTAATTTGCTTCTCTCCTTGGTTAGTTTCCATCCGTTGCTTCTTGTCCTGCCTTCGGGTGCTTTGGAGAACAGCTTGACTCCCTCTTCTTTGGGGCAGCCCCTGAGATACTGGAAGAACTGCTATCCTGTCCCCCCTCGTCCTTCTCTTCATTAAACTAGACATCCCCAATTCCAGCAACTGTTCCTTATATGTTTTAGCCTCCAGTCCCCTCATCCTCTTTGTTGCTCTTCTCTGCACTCTTTCTAGAGTTCTCAGCATCTTTTTTACATCGTGGTGACCAAAACTGGATGCCGTATTCCAAGTGTGGCCTTACCAAGGCCTTGTAAAGTGGTATTAACCCTTCACGTGATCTTGATTCTATCCCTCTGTTAATGCAGCCCAGCACTGTGTTGGCTTTTTTGACAGCTGCAGCACACGGCTGGCTCCTATTTAAGGGATTGTTCACAATCTCAAGGTCTCGAGGAGAATACAAGTAGTCCTCTACTTACAACCAGTTGCTTAGTGGCCATTAAAGTTATGACAGACCCCCAAAAGGGATTTACTGTCTCCTGTTGCTGGGCCCAAAGTCACCCAACCGGCTTGCATGCCTCAGGAGGGACTAGAACTCACCATCCCCTGGGGATGGGGTCAAAGTCACCTAGCTGACTTCCACACTAAGGCAGGACTAGAACTCATCGTCTCCTCTTGATTGTCCCCAAGTCACTTAGCCAGCTTTCAAGCTTAAAGCAGGACTAGAACTCACTGTCTCCTGGTGATTGGCCCAAAGTCACCCAATTGGCTTTCATGCCTAAGGCAGGACTAGACCTCACAATCTCCTGATAATTGGCCTCAAACAACCAGCCAACTTTCAAGCCTAAGGCAGGACTACAACTCACCATCTCCTGATGATTGGCCCAAAGTTACTCAGTCGGCTTTGAAGCCTAAGGCAGGATTAGAACTCACCGTCTCCTGGTGATTGGCCCAAAGTCACCCAGGTGGTCTTCATGCCTTAAGCGGGACTAGAACTCACAGTCTGCTGGTGATTGGCCCAACAGTCACCCAGCCAGCTTTCATCCCTTAGGCAGGACTAGAACTCACCGTCTCCTGGTGATTGGCCCAAAGTCACCTAGCCAGCGTTCATGCATAAGGCAGGACTAGAACTCCCCGTCTCCTAGTGACTGGCCCAAAGTCACCTAGCCAACTTTCACGCATAAGGCAGGACTAGAACTCACCGTCTCCTGGTGATTGGCCCAAAGTCACCTAGCCAGCGTTCATGCATAAGGCAGGACTAGAACTCAGTCTCCTGGTGATTGGCCCAAAGTCACCTAGACAACTTTCACGCATAAGGCAGGACTAGAACTCACAGTCTCCTGGTGATTGGCCCAAAGTCACCTAGCCAGCGTTCATGCATAAGGCAGGACTAGAACTCAGTCTCCTGGTGAATGGCCCCAAATCACCCACCCAGCTTTCAAGCCCAAGGCAGGACTAGAACTCACCATCTAGCAAGCTTTCATGCATAAGGTGGGCTAGAACTCACAATCTCCTGATAATTGGGCCCCCAATCACCCAGCCAGCTTTCAAGCCAAGGCAGGACTAGAACTCACCATCTCCTGGTGATTGGCCCAAAGTCACCCAGTCAGCTTTCACACCTAAGGATGGACTACAATTCACGGTCCGCTACAGGTGGGGCCTTAACCACTAAGCCGAACCGGTTCTCTGCATAGCCGCTTCTAAGACTCACCTTGGTGGGAGATCCAATGATGGTGGGCAGGGGCGTTTTGAAGGGCCAGTCCGAGCTGCGTGGAGACGACCCCATGTGTTTGGTGGGCGACGTCCCCAGGCTGACCGGCCGTGGGGGTTGGGGTGAATGGCCATAGCTGCAGCCCGTGTAGGACGGGCAGACGGGATCTGAATGCTGTTTCCGAAGCTTCTGCTTGTTCTGGTAAATGTCCGTCAGGGTGGGCGTGCTTTGCAGTCGAGCTCCTGTCAACAGGAGGGACTGTGGAGACTGGGACTGTATTGCTGAGGAACCTGGCAAGGAGGAACAGAAATGTGATGGGATTCAGGGCCTCTGGTGAGCAATTAGACTTGCACCAGCATTTTTCAACCCTGGCAACTTTCAGATGGGTGGTCTTTTGCTCCCAGAATTCCCCAGCCAATCTGCTTTACGATGGGTGGACTTCAAGATCCAGAATGCTCAGCTAATCTGCTTTAAAATGGCGGGATTTCAACTCCCAGAATTGCCCAGCCTGTAATCCTTGAAGATGGGCGGACTTCAAGATGCAGAATGCTCAGCTAATCTGCTTTAAGATGGGTGGACTTCAACTCCCAGAATTCCCCATTCACAATGCTTTAGGATGGGTGGTCTTTCACTTCCATAATTCCCAGCTAGCACGCTATAAGACAGCAGTTCTCAACCTATGGGTCGCGACCCCATTTGGGGTTGATTGACCATTTCACAGGGGTCACCAAGCAAGGCTGTCCGCCATTTTTTTCCCCTTTTCCGGCGGGTGCCTTACCTCCCTTGGGCTGGGCCAGGTGGTGGTCGGCCTGCTCCGTCTCTGCCACTTGCCAGCTACGCCTCGGCCGGCGCAGGGAGCGGCACCACGCATGCGCGGCACTCCCGGACAGGGAAAGTCCTCGACTTACGATCGGTTGGGTAATCCTCGACTTATGACTGGTTTAGTCCTTGACTTACGACTGGTTTAATTCTTGACTTACGACCGGTTGGGGGTCGCGGCATTAAAAAGGTTGAGAACCACTGCTATAAGAAGTGTGGACTTCATTTTCTAGAATTCCCCAGCCAGCCTGGCAACTGAAGTTCAGCCATTTTAAAGCATGCTAGGTGGGATGTTCTGGGAGTTGGTCCACACATCTTAAAGTTCCCAGGGTTGAGAACTTCTGATCTAGTTGGATTAAATCCCGATCAATGAGAATTGTGGGAGCATGCTGGCTGGGGAATTCTGGGAGCTGAAGTCCACCCATCTTGCAGTTCCAAATTTCAAAATACGCTGTCTCCTGCCCTTGACCTGAGGTTTTATTCTTCCAGACGAGCTTTTATGGCAATTCATGTCTCCAAACCTCAGCCAGTACTAGAAAGACTACAGAGAAGAGTAACAAAGAGGATCAGGGGACTGGAGGCTAAAATATATAAGGAACGGTTGCTGGAATTGGGCATGTCTAGTCTAATGAAGAGAAGGACAAGGAGAGACATCATAGCACTATTCCAGTATCTCAGGGGTTGCCCCAAAGAAGAGGGAGTCAAGCTATTCTCCAAAGCGCCTGAAGGCAGGACAAGAAGCAACGGATGGAAACTCATCAAGGACAGAAGCAACCTAGAACTAAGGAGAAACTTCCTGACAGTGAGAACAATTAACCCGTGGAACAACCTGCCTCCAGAAGTGGTGAATCCGCCAACACTGGAAGTTTTTAAGAAGAGACTGGACAGCCATTTGATCTGAAATGGTATAAGCTTTCCTGCCTGAGCAGGGGGTTGGACTAGATGAGCTCCAAGGTCCCTTCCAACTACTACTCCTACTCCTACTTCTTCGTTATTATATTATTATATTATTATTATTCCCTGCTGACACACCCCCAAATGCAAACTAAGATCGCGTCTCCCCTTTCCTTTTTGGACCTGTGAGAGTAACGCATACAGACCTACACAGATTTGTCTTGCCCAGATCTGTTTTTTTTTTTTTTAAACGCAGTTCCTTTGAACAGATGCTTTCCACTGGAATTAACAGAAGAAAATCAGAATTAACAGGTTTTCCAGTCCAGCCTCCTACTTAAGGCAGGAGACTCTATATCATTCCGCACAAATGTTTATCCAGTCTCTTCTTAAAAACCTCCAGTGTTGGAGCACCCACAACTTCTGGAGGGAAAGTTGTTCCCCTGTTAATCGTTCACACAGTCAGGACGTTTCGCCTTAGTTCCAGGTTGCTTCTCTCCTTGATTAGTTTCCATCAATGGCTTCCCGTTCTGCCTTCAGGTGCTCTGGAGAATAGCTTGACTCCCTCTTCTTTGGGGCAGCCCCTGAGATATTGGAAGGCTGCTATCATGTCCCCCCTTAGACTTGACCAGGGGTGGGCAACCTTGGCTTTTTTATGACTCGTGGACTTCATGCTGATTCAGGAATTCTGGGAGTTGAAGTCCGCGAGTCATAAAAGAGCCAAGGTTGCCCACCCCTGGACTAAACATACCCAATTCCTGCGACCCGTTCTTCGTTTGTTTTAGCTAATTATCTTCAACTTTACTGGCTGGGGATCATGGACAGGAGAGTCATTCCAACCCGCTAGTTGTACCAGCCCGTTCTTTTCAAACCACCTGCTCAACAAAAGCAGAACGAATGTGATTAGGAAAACTACCCACCACTTGAGGGAGCGGCGGAGGCCAAAGGAGAAAACTCTGGTCATCCCAGGTCATCCAAGTGGCTAAAAGAAGGGCTTTCATCAGCTACAAAAAAACCGACAACAAAGCCCTCGCAGAGAGCTAACCGTCAACAGGATGTTCTAGCCCACGGAAAGGTCAGCTGGGGTGACAGCAGCGGCTTGTCCTCACAAGTCCTTCCAAATGGGCTCACAAAAAGCAGCTGACCAGCCTTGGAGCACATGGGCACCCAGGAAGACACGTTCAGGCAAGGAAAGACCTCTCCAGGATCCCACGCCAACATTTACAGATCTCCCTCTCTTAAATGCTTCTGTGCACTTCAGTTGTACAGAGATAGAGATGGAAGACCTAGAGAAGCCCTGTTCAAATAGGGTTTGGCTACCTAGCTGCAATCTGTCAGTCTCTACCTACCTATAGATAGATAGATCTCCCTCATCTATGTCTGTCATCTTTCTCACCTATCTACCTATCTACCTACCTATCTACCCATCTAGTCTGTCTGTCTGTCTGTCTATCTATCCATCCATCATTTGTCTGTCTGTCTATCTATCCATCCATCATATCTGTCTGTTTATCCATCCATCCATGTTTATCCATCCATCCATCCATCCATGCATGCATGCATCCATCCATCCATCTATCATGTTTGTCTGTTTGTCTATCTATCCATCCATCCATCATTTGTCTGTCTGTCTATCCATCCATCCATCCATCATATCTGTCTGTTTGTCTATCTCTCTATCTGTCTCTGTCTGTCTGTCTGTCTTTGTCTGTCTGTCTATCTATCCATCCATCATTTGTCTGTCTGTCTATCTATCTATCCATCCATCATATATATCTGTTTATCCATCCATCTATCTATCTATCTATCTATCTATCTATCTATCTATCTATCTATCATCTGTTTGTCTATCTATCTATCCATCCATCCATCATTTGTCTGTCTGTCTGTCTATCTATCTCTATCTATCCATCCATCCATCATATCTGTCTGTTTATCCATCCATCCATCCATCCACCCATCATCTGTCTCTATCTATCTATAATTGATCTGTCTGTCTGTCTATCTATCTAATCTATCCATCCATCCATTCTCATCTCTTTATCCATCCACCTCTCCCATCCATCCATCCATTCATCCATCCATCCATCCATCATTTTACATCTTTCTCATCTCTATCCATCATCTATCTATCTCTCATCTATCCATCTATCCATCCATCCCTTCATGTCTCTCATCCATCCTTTTTCCATCCATCCATCCATCTATACATATATACATCATTTTTCAGCTTTTTCATCTCTCTCTCTCTCTCTCTCTCTCTCTCTCTCTCTCTCTCTCTCTCTCTCTCTCTCTCTCTCTCTCTCTCTCTCTCTCTCTCTCTCTCTCTCTCTCTCTCTCTCTCCCTCCCTCCCTCCCCCCATATCTCGTATCATCTCTCTCTCTTTCTCACATACACTGGTGGACCTACCATAATTTGGTTGCTAAAAGCCTTGGAGATATTCTCCATCCTTTCTTCCGTCTTTTACAAAATGGACCACAAAGGCTTGGAGACCCAGAGCAGAACTGGCCTGTCATCTAACCGTTCCTCACCCTCTGTCTCTTTAGTTAGTTGAATTATCTCCACCAGCCTCATGAACTGGGTGGGAAGGCTTCACAACCCTTGGACCAAAGGGCTGTTTGAGGCTTTGTACCTTTACTCCTGTAAACCCTTCCCTTAAAATTGGATGGGGGGGGGGAAGGGGACAAAGAGAAACTGCTCACCTGAAGAACTTCGGCCCCTGATTTCGTGCCCTTGCAGCTGCCCGCAACAGCAATGGCCAAGTTGTTCAGGTATGGTACCAACTGGGGGGAGAGGGGGGGGAAGGAAATAGTAATATAATCAGAACAAAATCCGATTCAAAATCACCTTATGAGTTTGTAAAAATAGGTTTAAACCACCATCTCCCCAGTCACAGCCCACCATAACTGCTTATTGTAAACACTATATAGTTCAGTGGTTCTCAACCGGTGGGTCGGGACCCCATTTGGGGGTCGAATGACCATTTCACGGGGGTCGCCAAACAACGCAGTCCGCCATTTTTTCCCCCTTTTCCTTAGCTGTGCTACTCCCTTTTATTCTATTGGCTTTTGAAAGCCAATAGAGTAGACTCTCTTGAATAGAGTCTAACTCTATTGGCTTTCAAAAGCCAATAGAAATTGTCCAGGCTGTTTCTGCCCTGCTGAGCCCGCCAAAAGTCCCATTCTGCAAATGGTGCTGCACCAGTTGAGTAGTCCTCGACTTATGACCGGTTGAGTAGTCCTCGACTTACAACCGGTTGGGGGGTCGCGGCATTAAAAAGGTTGAGAACCACTGATATAGTTAGTCCTCAACTTACAACCATTTGCTTAGTTACAACAGCGCTGAAAAAAAGTGACTTGGGACTGTTTTTCACACTTAACGACCATTACAGCATTCAGGGTCAAGAGATTGAAATTTGGACGGGCAACTGGCATGAATGTATGACGGTCGCCATGTCCTCCGGGGTGTCACCTGATCCCCTTTGTGTGACTTTCTGACCAGCAAAGTCAACGGGGAAGCCAAATTCACTTAACAACCGTGTTGTTCACTTAACAACTGTGGCGAGAAAGGTCCTAAACGGGGGCAAAACTCACTTCACAAATGTCTCACTTAGCAACAGAAATTTTGGCTCAATTGCGGTCATAAGTCGAGGACTACCTGTAGACTGCCCATGGGTGCAAGAAGTTCCGGAGACACACACTGAACAAACTGGGCTATCTGGTGGCTTCTTCCCTTTGCGATTGTGGTGATGTGCAGGCAACAACACAAATGTCTATCTGCCCTTTGTGTCCCAATCAGCATACATTGGAGGACCTCAGGGCAGCGCGACAGAACACAATTCTTGTTGCCAGTTTCTGGGCAAGAGCTGTTTAATTTGTACATACTTCCACCTAGTTTTTGGTATTTTAAATTGTGTGTCAGCTAGGTCAGGGCTTTTCAACCAGTGGTACGGGTACCACCTGTGGTCCATTGGCACCTGGCAGGTGGTACGCGACCATCCTAGAAAAGTGGTAGCGGGGGAGGGGAATGAGCTGAACCGGTGGCAGCAATGCACAAGCCTGAGCGAGAGACGGCTGGAGCTGCAGGGCTGTCAGGGCTCAGCGGAAGCGCCAGGATTAGCGCCAGGCTCCAGCTGATGGGCGCTTCTTCGGGGCTGTCAGAGCTTAGCGGAAGCACCAGGATCAGTGCCGCTTTCCAGCTGATGGGCGCTTCTTCGGGGCTGTCAGGGCTCAGTGGAAGTGGCAGGATCAGCGCCAGGCTCCAGCTGGAGCTCGGCGCTGATCCTGGTGCTTCTGTTGAGCCCTGAAGAAGCACCAATAAGCTGGAAAGCAGCACTGATCCTGGCGCTTCTGCTGAGTCCAGAAGAAGCGCTGATCAGCTGGAATGTTGCAGCATCTCCAGGGTCTGGTGATTTACATTCAGATGCTTGGCAACTGATTCATATTTATGACGGTCACAGTGTCCCAGGGTCATGTGAAGTGACCAAAACCTGCTGCAACCATCCAGCAGACGGGGGGGGGGGGAATAAAAAGCACACACCCCCACCCCACCCCCGCTGCCAATCCTCAACAGAAATGCTCACAACAATGAAAACCTCGGACAGGAGGAAGAGCACGGCCGGGCGGGCAGGCAAGTGTCTTGCTCAGCTATGGCTTGGGGGGCACTTTTTTCAGTGCCATTGTCACTTCGAACAGTCACTAAGAGAACTGTTGTAAGTCAAGGACTACCTGTACTTTATCACTTTTTTCCTTTTTTTTTTTTTTTTTGGTCATCAAGTTTTTGACACCTTGCTAGGCGACTGGTTGTACTCGGATGTTGCCATATCCTAAAAGTGGTACAATGGGTGAAAAGGTTGAAAAGCCCTGATATAGTCTGCCATTTGAACTGTGATTTTTAAAATGGTTTGATGTTTGTTTATTCGTGCTTCTGACATGAACAAAGATCAAACCGTTTAAAAAATTGCGAGACCCCACCGCAGCAACTGATTTTTTCCTTTTTTCTTCTTCTTAGAAACGAGAAAGCCATCTGCCTTTTGTTTCTGTTAAGACCCACAAGACTGTCACCACAAAGGTAGACCTGTATAGGTCGCCCTTGACTTAGAAACACAGGCTGGATTTTTTTTTTTTTTTTTACCATGGTTCTTGATCAAGTCACGGGGCTGTTAAGAAAATCCAGCTTTTCTCATTGCTAGTATAAGGTCTCCCTGGGAAGGATGCAAATAGCGTGGACATAAAACCCTGGGGCACTGGAGCCGTCATAGATACGGGCCAGTTACCAAGTGCCTGAACTGTGAACAAATGACCGCAAGGGCGCAGCAGTGGTTGTTAAGGATGAGGATTGTTAAGTCACCTTTTTCCTGCTTGATTGTTGGTCTAGTACAGGGGTGTGGAACCTTGGCTCTTTTAGGACTTGTGGACTTTGACTCCCAGAATTCCTGAGCCAGCCATGCTGAGGGGAAAGGGAGAGGTTTTCATGGTGAGCCATGCTGGCTCAGGAATTCTGGGAGTTGAAGTCCATAAGTCATGAAGGGGGGCATAGTTTCCCCATGCTACCTCAGGAATTCTGGGAGTTGAAGTCCACAAGCTATAAAAGGACCATAGTTCCCCCATGCTGGCTCAGGAATTCTGGGAGTTGAAGTCTACAAATCATAAAAGGGCCAAGGTTCCCCACCCCTGGTCTAGTATTAATTCTGGTTACCCAAAGCCAAACAGGTTGCCTGGCTTTTAAATCACGATTTTGGCCTGTGCCGTATTGGGGCTCACCTAGTGGCGAAGGGGAATACGGCCTCGAAGAGCCAGTGGACAGCCTCCTCCCAACAGTCTGGGCAGTGTCAGCTGGCACCGGGGAGCTGGAGCCGGTCTTGAGGAAGCCCAAAGGGCTGGTATTTGACCGCCGCACCGCCCCGGATCTGAAAGCAGAAGAGAAAGGGTCTAATAAAAGAAAGGTAGAATAATTAGCTAATGTACCCAGGAGATAGTAATAGTAGTAAAGTTGGAAGGGACCTTGGAGGTCATCTAGTCCAACCCCCTGCTCGGGCAGGAAACCCTAAACCATTTCGGACAAATGGCTGTCCAGTCTCTTCTTAAAAACTTCCAGTGTTGGAGCATTTACTGCTTCTGGAGGCAAGCTGTTCCACTGAATAATTGTTCTCACTGTCAGGAAGTTTCTCCTTAGTTCTAGGTTGCTTCTCTCCTTGATGAGTTTCCACCCGTTGCTTCTTGTCCTGCCTTCAGGTGCTTTGGAAAATAGCTTAATTCCCTCTTCTTTATGGCAGCCCCTGAGATATTGGAAGACTGCTATCATGTCTCCCCTTGTCCTTCTCTTCGTTAAACTAGACATACCCAATTCTCGCAACCGTTCCTTATATGTTTTAGCCTCCAGTCCCCTAATCATCTTTGACTCTTTCTAGAGTCTCAACATCTTTTTTACATCGTGGTGACCAAAACTGGATGCAGTATTCCAAGTGTGGCCTTACCAAGGCATTGAAGAGTGGTATTAATACTTCACGTGATCTTGATTCTATCCCTCTGTTAACACACACTGTCTCTCTCTCTCTTCTTCTTAAGCGTCATATTATCCAGAAACATTGTCTTCCTAGTCTCATTATCTATCTATCTATCTATCTATCTATCTATCTATCTATCTATCTATCTATCTATCTATCTATCTATCTATCTATTATCTATCTATCTATTATCTATCTATCTATCTATCTGTCTATTATCTATCTATCTATCTATTATCTATCTATCTATCTATCTATCTGTCTATTATCTATCTATCTATCTATCTATTATCTATCTATCTATCTATTATCTATCTATTATCTATCTATCTATCTATCTATCTATCTATCTATCTATCTATCTATCTATCTATCTATCTATCTCTGTCTATTATCTATCTATCTATCTATCTATCTATCTATCTATCTATCTATCTATACATCTATTATATCTCTATCTATCTATCTATCTATCTATCTATCTATCTATCTGTCTATTATCTATCTATCTATCTATCTATCTCTATGACTATTATCTCTCTCTCTCTCTCTCTCTCTCTCTCTCTCTCTCTCTCTCTCTCTCTCTCTCTCTCTCTCTCTCTCTCTGTCTATATAGCTATCTATCAAAAAATCAATCAATCTTCCGAAACCACTTTTCTGTTTAACGAGGCAAGATTCTGAACAGCCCATCCATTTCAGTCTAGGTAAATTTTGCTTAGAAATAAATACTAAAATAAAATAAAAACAAAATTCTGGCTCTATCATCAGTGAGGCAGGTATGGAGTACACGCAGGTCCTCTACCTAGGGCTACAACTGGAATCAGAATTTCCACTGCTAAGCACGGCGTTTGTTAAGTGACTCGCACCCAATTTTGCCTTTTTTTGGGGGGGGGGCTGAGCATTAAGCAAATCCCTGCGGTTGTTAAGTGAATCACAGGGTCGTTAAGGGACTCCAGCTTGCCCCGTTAACTCCCGATTGTTGGAAAGCGGCTGGGAAGGTTGCATATGGTGATCACCTGAGCCCAGGATGCGGCAGGTGGTCATAAACACAGGCTGGTTGCTAAGTTCCCAGATTTTCACCACACAAGATGCTCAATGGCTGCAAGTGTGAGGAGCGGTTGGAAATCACATTTGGCGGCGCTAAAGTGGGAAGCTGGAAAAATACTGATTGTCCGACAGAGATTGGGGGTGAAAGGGAGGTTTTCCTGCTTACTAGACAACCCTTAAAATTAGAATGGCCAGACATCCTCTTCTCAACTTTGCACATGATATATTGCAAACTGTTTATCACATGGTGTATTGAAAACTGCTTGACACTTGAAATATTGCTAAAAGCATTCCTATGTTAAAAGAGGAACTATAGATTATAACCATGTCTAGTAACTTTCCTATGTTAGAATAAGGAACTATAGAATGTAACCATGTATGGAATATGTCTTGATCAGGAAATACTGACATATTACGGGTTATAAAAATGATCATCTACGCCCAGTCGGGTGTTCAGATTTTTTTTTTAGCTGTGTACAGCTCTCTGAACCTGTGCAATAAACTTCTCTTTCCTTGAAAGAGCTGACTCAAGTCTCTCACTTCTACAACAGTGCCATCGGCTTCCGGTGGATCTGCGTTGGGCGATGGCGGCTACTTTGTAGCCGTCCTCCTGGGTACGTGTAATGAACCGCTATGAACAGCAGACATCAGCTGTTCAGCGGTTCAAAATCCCCCTCCCGGGCAAAGGGGGGGGGGCAGAGGGTAGTCTGAATAGTGGTAGAGCCTCTTATGTACCCCCAATTTTTCTTTTTTGGGGGTGATAGAGTGCTCCCACGGAGTTCAGACTGTCTCCGCTTCCCAGCTGCTTTTGTCCTTGGGACAAAACAAGCCCTCGCAGCCACCTCCGCGTTTAAAGTGATCTAGTGAGTTTTTTTTAAAGAAGCGGACAGAGTTGTTTAGAGGATTTATTTTTTTTGCTTTCTTTGACTTTATATGTATTTTAAATTTAAAGGTTTATTCTTTTGTTATAGTCTTTCTTTTTATTTTTTGCTTTTTGCTGAAAGGGAAAGTAAAATGGCGATCGGCAGACTTTCTAGCGTTTTTTTTTCGGGAAGCTAGAATGGCGATCGGCTTTTTTACCTTCTCTTTTTTTTCTTTCTTCTTTTTAAGGATTGGATGGATTTTAGAGTATTATTAATTTTTGTTGTTTAATTTTCTAAACATTATTGTTTTGGTCTGATTCTTTGTTTTGCTTTTTGTATTTCTAAAAGGCAGGCATTTTGGTTTCCCCCCCCCTCTTCTTTTTTTTCATTTTAACGATTGGAGTGTATATTCTAATTTTTTTTATTGATTTATTTTTCGCCTTCTTTGACTTTATTTTAAATCCAAAGGTTTATTGTTTTGTTTATAGTCCTTTTTTTCCACTATTTGCTTTTTTGTTGAAAGAGAAAGTAAATGGCGATCGGGAGACCTTCTAGCGTTTTTTTTTTTTTTTTTGGGAAGCTAGAGTGCCGATCGGCTTTTTTTTACTTTCTCCCTTTTTTTTCTTTTTAATGAATTGGATGGATTTTAGAAGTATTATTATTGTTTTGGTTTGATTTGTTGCTTTGTCTCTTGTATTTTTAAAGGGCAGGCATTCTGGTTTTGGTCTGATTTTTTGTTTTGCTTTTTGTATTTTTAAAAGGCAGGCATTTTGGTTTCCCTCCCCCCCCCTTTTTTTTTCTCACTTTAACGATTGGAGGGTATATTTTAACTTTTTGTTTTGGTTTGATTTGTGGTTTTGTCTCTTGTATTTTTAAAGGGCAGGCATTCTGGTTTTTTCCCTCCCCTTTTCCTTTTTTTTTTTTTTTCCATTTTAATGATTGGAGTGTATATCTTAATTTCTTTTATTTTTTTTCTTCTTTTCTAACTCCCTTTTTTATTTTTTTATTTTTCTCATTATTTTAAAGATTTTCTTTTGAGGGAGTTATGATTTTCTTTTGAAGGAATTTTTATAATTTTTAAGAAGGAGTAAAGTTTTTTTTTTTTAAGATGGCTCCAAAGCGTCCAGTGAATTTCACAGTTCCTAAATCTTCTGTGGCCCAGCCAACAACTGTGAAGGATATGCAACAAATGATGGGAAATTTTACAATTCAAATTAGAGCAGAAATGAAAAAGATTTTGGAAGAAAATAATAAGATTTTGAGGCAAGACATAGTTTTGGCTCTAAAAGGAGTTGCTTCTGTTCTTGAAAAGTTGAATTCCCATGTGGAAGAAGTAGCTGAAAAAGTGGAATTAATGGAGGGGAAAATTGAAAGTATGGAAAAAGAAATGGAAAACGATATTCTTATGCTTCAATATGGTCAAATGGAATACGCCTTAAGAATTAGGGGCTTGGAAGAGTCCTTGCAAGAAGATCTGAAAGAGATGGTTGCAAAGGAATTTGCCGTAATTTTGAATAAAGAAAAAGAAGGAATACTTAGTGAAATTGAAAAACTATTTAGAGTTAATTCTGCGGTGGCAGTACAAAAGAATTTGCCAAGAGATGTGGTAATTTACTTTGGGAAGAAATCTTTACGCAATGAAATTATACAAGCTTTTTATAAGAAGAGATTTCAAATTGCTTCACAAGATGTTATAATTTTAAAGGAGATCCCATCAAAAATTTTAAGAAGAAGAAAGGAGTTTGCCTTTTTAGCAAATGAACTTAAAATGAGACGAATTTCGTTTAGATGGGATGTTCCGATTGGAATGGTGGTGAATTACCTGGGAATATGTTATAGACTTAATACTGTTTCTCAAGCAAAAGATTTTTATACTTCAGTATTGGGGGCATGTCCATCTCCATCTATTAAGTTCAAGACTTTGGAAGAAATGGATGTAGAATTACAGTTTGAAGATTCTAAAATTGGGCAACCCCTGTTTAAGAGATCTCAACATGTTCAGATTGAGGAGCAGGAGACAACCTGTGTAGCACAAAACTGTAAAGAAAAGCAGCAACTGACGAAGAGTAATGAAATTTCACACCTAGTGATTGCTGATTCTGTGGGAGAAGCAAGACCCATAAATCCTTTGGAGCAATCTTCAAGGATGGAAGGGTCATTTGAGATGAAAAAGGGGAAATTTCAGCCTGAGGGGCGTCAACAAGTTGAGAAGAAGGGGCAGAGGAAAATCTGTGCAACATATAATTGTAAAGAAAAAGACCAACAGAATAAGGAGCTTAAGGAATCCCCACATGTACTGGCTTCTGAGTCGTTGGGAGACTCAGAAAATTTGGAGCAGCTTTTGAGGACAGATCCTAAAGCATTTGTTTTAAGCTTTATAACGAAAATGGATAATCGAGGCTGACAATAATAATATCAGTATGATAATGAATGGAGAATCAAAATGGACAATTGAGATTGATAAGGACTGGGTTTTTTGTGGTTGCAACTTGTTATTGATGAAGATTTTAAAAGATTTGAATATCTATTGTGTTTATGGTGGATGGAATTTGTTATAGTGTTTTTTGTGGGTGGAATTTGCTATAAACTGTCTACTTTGGATGGAATCTGATAAGATTTAAATGAGTATAAAGGTGTTTTGTTTTTGTTTTTTTCTCTTTTTTTAAGTTTTAAGTAATGTATAAATTTGTGTTTTGGGGGAGTTTATGAAAATGATAATAATATTTATGATATTAGAAGGATTGGAGTATATTACAATGTGTTTAGTGTTTGGGTGGGGTTTTTAATGTTTAAAGTTTTAAGTAATGTTTAGATTTGTGTTTTTGATTGACTATAATTTGTTTGTTCTAATGTTTTAAGTTCTGATTGTTTAAATTTGTGTTTTGGAGGGACTATAACTTGTTTAACTAAATGTATTTAGATTTGCTTATGATTTATGCTAGACTTTATATGGTAGTTATAGATGTTTAAAGAAAGCAGTGCTTAAAATTGTGTCTTGGAAGAGACTTATGTAGAAGGATGGATAATATTATAAGTAAGATTAGAAGATTTTTAGAGTATATTATAATGTGTTTATTATTATTTTCTAGAAATAATTCATTTAATTTAAGGTACTTAGGATTGTTTAGGATTTATAGGTGTCTTAAGTTTTATATGTGTTTTAAGTTCTTTTTCTTTTTTTTCTTTTGAAACATTTTGGATAAGCCTGTAATCAACTCTGGGAGGTTCAGGGGAGGGTTCGGGAGGTTTGGGGAGTTGGGGGAGGGTATGGGTAGGTGGGCGGGTTTGGGGAGGGGATTTATTTTGTAAAATGTTAAAAATTCTCAATAAAAAAAAAAAAACAGTGCCATCATAACTTCGAACGGTCGCTAAACGAGCAGTCGTAGATGCTAACTGGAAATTTTTGCTGGGGAAGCCAGCCAAATACAGGCCATCCTCAACTTAACAACAGTTTGTTTAGTGACCGTTCAAAGTTATAACGGCACTGAAAACAGAGACTTAGAACCATTTTTCTCACACTTATGACCTTGACAGCATTCCCCACGGTCACGTGATCAAAATTCAGACACTTGGCAACCGGCTCCTATTTATGACAGTCGCAGCGTCCCAGCCGTCACGCAATTAAAATTGACTCATATGGATGCAGCGTCCCGGCGGTCTTGCGACTGTCTGACAAGCCAAGTCAACAGGGGGAGCCAGGTTCACCTCACAAACGTGTTGCCAACTCAACAACCGCAGCGATTCCCTCAAGAATTGTGGCGAGAAAGATCATAAAACTGGGCCAAACTCGCTTCAGGACCGTCTGGCTTAGCAACAAGGTACGCCCACGTGTCACCTATCCTCCGCGAGCTGCACTGGCTTCCTGTGGGTCTCCGGACGCAATTCAAGGTGTTGGTTGTCACCTTTAAAGCCCTTCATGGCTTAGGACCAAGTTACTTACAGGACCGCATTCTGCCGCACAGCTCCCAGAGACCGGTGAGGTCCCATAGATTGGGCCTCCTTCAGGTCCCGTCAGCCAGACAATGTTGGCTGGCGGGCCCTCGGGGAAGGGCCTTTTCTGTGGTGGCTCCGACGTGGTGGAATCAACTTCCCCCCGAGGTTCGAACAACTCCCACCCTGCCGGCCTTTAAGAAAGCCGTTAAAACTCTCCTGTTCCGGCAGGCCTGGGGCTGATGTCCCCGGGGGTGGGGTGGGGGTGGGACATGATCGGACTTGCGGTATGATTGTATTATTTTATTGTTTTATTCTCGATGATTGTTTTAATTTTGTACGCCGCCCTGAGTCCTTTGGCATTGGGCGGCATATAAATAAATTAAATAAATTAAATTAAATAAACAGAGATTTTAGGCTCAACGGTGGTCGTAAGCCGAGGACTCCCCTGAGTGGGCAGGAGAGGGAAGGATCAGGTCGAGACCCAGGGAGAAGGGAGGTCTTCTTACCTTGGTGACCCGTGGGGATTGGATCCCGGGCTGGTGGCCGACGTCAGGTTCTGCTCTATGAGCTGGTAGTTCCGCAGCTGAGTTGGGACCGGGATGGGCACCGTTTCGCTCCGGGGGGAGACGGAAGGCTGGCACTGCCTGTTGGTGGGGGGCAAGGAGAGACGCAATGAAGAGAGGCAGACGGCAAACATCTGGGCCAGAAGGAGCACCACACACAATCCTCTTCTCCCAGAGGAGAAGCTTTCATGGCTGGCTGCCTCTGGAAAAGCATGAAAGACACCGGAGGGGGTGCCCTGTTGCTAGTTCCCAGGGGAGGAGAACACGCTCAAGACTGGGGCCTGGGTGGAAGCTTCAGTCATGCAATATATAAAAAGAGGTTGCAATAGAAAAATAAATAAATAAACAGATTTTAATAATAGTAGTAGTAGTAGTAGTAGTAGTAGTAGTAGTAGTAGTAGTAATAAAGTTGGGAGGGACCTTGGAGGTCATCTAGTCCAACCCCCTGCTCAGCCAGGAAACCCTACACCATTTCAGACAAATGGTTATCCAATCTCTTTTTTAGAAACTTCCCAGTGTTGGAGCATTCACTGCTTCTGGAGGCAGGATGTTAATAATAAGAATAAAGTTGGAAGGGACCTTGGAGGTCATCTAGTCCAACCCTCTGCTCAGGCAGGAGACCCTGTACCATATCAGACAAATGGCTGCCCAGTCTCTTCTTAAAAAGTTCCAGTGTTGGAACATTCACCACTTCTAGTGGCAAGCTGTTCCACTGATTAATTGTTCTCACTGTCAGGAAGTTTCTCCTTAGTTCCAGGTTGCTTCTCTCCTTGGTGAGTTTCCATCCGTTGCTTCTTGTCCTGCCTTCAGGCGCTTTGGAGAATAGCTTGACTCCCTCTTCTTTATGGCAGCCCCTGAGATACTGGAAGACTGCTATCATGTCCCCCCTCGTCCTTCTCTTCATTAAATTAGACATACCCAATTCCAGCAACCGTTCCTTATATGTTTTAGCCTCCAGTCCCCTAATCATCTTTGTTGCTCTTCTCTGCACTCTTTCTGGAGTCTCAACATCTTTTTTACATCGTGGTGACCAGAACTGGATGCCGTATTCCAAGTGTGGCCTTACCAAGGCCTTGTAGAGTGGTATTAATACTTCACGTGACCTTGATTCTGTCCCTCTGTTAATGCAGCCCAGCACTGTGTTGGTGTCTCCTTTTGTCTCCTCCTCTCCCTCTTGTTTTAGGCAGGGCTGGCGCCAAGCCCTGCTTCTTCCCACCCCCCGCCTCCCCCCTCCTTTCAAGCTTTTTCCAAAACAAGTCTTTCTAGGAAAACCCACCAGGGAAGCCAGAACAGGAAGTGCAGAAGTTAGAGAGGCTGAGTTTGTTTGCTCGAGGCTGAAAGTCTTTGGGAATAGGACTGGGGGGGGGGGGGAGAAGAAAACAGATGACGCCAGCCCTCCCTGGAGAGTCAACAAAGCAGCTGGAGCACCTGAGCAGAGGGAGGGAGGGAGGGCACACACCTGCGTTAGGCTCCTAGGGCTGCAAACTCCAAGCCAGCGGTACAGCCTCTGGAAGGAGGCCGGGCTTAAGAATTTGGCCTGTTTTTGTTCCTCTCTCTCCTCCCCCCCCCCCAAATAAAAAGTCCAGCTGGAAGGGCTTCGAATGCCTTCCAGATGGTAGAATTGAAAGACGCAGGAGGCAAGGAAGATCACTTCCATCCCTGTGTCTTACGTCAGAGAGGAAAATTCTGGGAATCTTATCTGAGTAGGACATACAATGAGATTTATCAGAAGACAATGTTAGTGTGGGCAATCCTAGTGTGTGTGTATGGGTTCCTTGAACTTAGGAACCGTAATGGTTCCTAAGCGAGACACTTGTCAAGTTGGAGAATAGCTTGACTCCCTCTTCTTTGGGGCAATATCTCAGGGGCTGCCATAAAGAAGAGGGAGTCAAGCTATTTTCCAAAGCACTTGAAGGCAGGACAAGAAGCAATGGATGGAAACTAATCAAGGAGAGAAGCAGCCTAGAACTAAGGAGAAACTTCCTGACAGTGAGAACAATTAACCAGTGGAACAACCTGCCTCCAGAAGCTGTAGATGCTCCCAACACTGGAAGTTTTTAAGAAGAGACTGGACAGCCATTTGTTTGAAATGGGATAGGGTTTCCTGCCTGAGCAGGGGGTCAGGCTAGATGACCTCCAAGGTCCCTTTCAACTTTATTATTATTATTATTATTATTGTTGTTGTTGTTGTTATATGCAGCAGATAGAATAACTGAAGCACAGGTGGGGGCAAGGTAAACACACACACCTGTTTGCTGAACCAGAAAGACTACTACCGGAGGTATTGGGGGGGGGGGCTCTGAAAATTGCCAACACTTTCTCAAAACGATTAACGGACTCTGTCTGTCAAAGGCAGGGGTAGGCAACCTCAGCTCTTTTTTGACTCGTGGACTTCAACTCCCACAATTCCTGAACCAGCATGGGGGAACTATGACCCCTTCATGACTCGTGGACTTCAACTCCCAGAATTCCCGAGCCAGCATGGCTCAGCTTGGAAACCTCTCCCTTTCCCCTCAGCAGGGCTGACTCAGGAATTCTGGGAGTTGAAGTCCATGAGTCATAAAAGAGCCAAGGTGGCCTACCCCTGGTCAAAGGGAACAAAGGCAATTAAAAAAAGAAGGGAAGCTATTCTGTTGGCTATTTTAGGCTTCGGTTAGCTTTGGGAGCCATCAGGAGAAAAAAGGCAACACTTGCCCCCAAAAGAACCATGACACACACACACACACACACACACACACACACCCTCCGGCAGGGATGTCACTTACCCTCCGCAGATCAGGAACTCGCTTGAGGCTCTCCGGCCCACGGTTGCCAGGGGCAGATCGTCTGTAGGGGAAAAGAGACGGTTCACACCACTAGGTTCACTTTACATACAAGTGGCTTGTCCACATGCAACACCCCAATCGAGGAACGATCGACTCAGATAAACCAGCTAACACAAAAAAGGGACTACTCAGAATAACCACAGCACTGACAGGGCAAGGCACTAGTATGTAAACAGAGAGCAAACCCCACTCCCTTCTAGCACTGATGACGTTACCTAGTTGGGTCGTGAAACGTCTGCAGGAAAAAACACCAAGCAGTCCGCCTTCACCCCTCGTTCTCCTCTGCTTCCTCCTCCTCCTCTTCCCCCTCCACCATTCCATAACCCCCCCTTCCTTCTAGCACTGATGATGTTACCTAGTTGGGTCATGAAACATCTGACAAAAAAAAACCCAACTCAGAGAGCACCAAGGACTCCATAGTCGTCGTCGTCCTCCTCCTCCTCCTCCCCCCCCGCAAACCCTACTCCCTTCTAGCACTGATGATGTTACCTAGTTGGGTCATGAAACGTCTGCAGGAAAACCAACAAGCTGAGAGAAGACCAAGGACATCCATCCATCCGTCGGTCCCTCTGTCCCTCCCTCCATCTACCCACATCCATCCATCCATCCATCCATCCATCCATCCATCCATCCCAGCCTAATCAAGGAACCACCAAGAACATTCCCACCAACACTGACAGGGCAAGCTATGATAAATGAACAGAGAGCAAACCCAGCACTGATGATGTCACCTAGCTGGGTCATGAAACGTCTGCAGGAAAACCACCCAGCTCAGAGAGCACTAAGGGCCCTACAGTTTTCCTCCTCCTCCTCCTCCTCCTCCCTTCTAGCACTGATGATGTTACCTAGTTGGGTCATGAAACGTCTGCAGGAAAACCACCAAGCTCAGAGATCATCAAGGACCCCCACAGTCCTCCTCCGCCTCTCCACAAACCTCACTCCTTCTAGCACGGATGACACTACCTAGTTGCGTCATGAAACGTCTGCAGCAAAACCACCAAGCTCAGAAAGCACCAAGGTCCCACACTCCTCCTCCTCTTCCCCTCTGCATACCCCATTCCCTTCTAACACTGATGATGTTACCTAGTTGGGTCATGAAATGTCTGCAAACGAACAACCAAGCTCAGAGAGCACCAAGGACCCCCACAGTCCTCCTCCTCTTCCCCTCTGCATACCCCACTCCCTTCTAGCACTGATGATGTTACCTAGTTGGGTCATGAAACGTCTGCAGGAAAAAAACCCAAGCTCAGAGAGCACCAAGGACCCCCACAGTCCTCCTCTTCCTCCTTTCTGGCACTGATGATGTTACCTAGTTGGGTCATGAAACGTCTGCAAGAAAACCACCAGGCTCAGAGAGCACTAAGGACCCCACCTTTTGACCCTCCGCCACAAATATTCTCCTTTAGCGTTCCCTATTCTCTGTGCCTACCTGAAAGGGTGGCTTCCCAACCAGACACTGGTAGATGACCGTGCCTATACTCCCCAGTCCTCCTCCTCCTCCCTCCTAGCACTGATGATGTTACCTAGTTGGGTCAGGAAACGTCTGCAGGAAAACAACCAGGCTCAGAGTATCAACTGGGATTGCCTTTGCTAAGTGGGCTGATCACATGAGATAATCTGTTTAACAACCCTGCAATGACGAGTTTATCGTCTAAATTAGGGCCATTAAGTGAGAACTACCTGTGGAACGAATGAACCTTGTGGTTTTTTTCCTCCCCTCGCTGTCTGCAATAAAGCAACGGAAGCCACACCTAGGTTTGATCCTAAAAGTTCCTCCCAACTGCAATTCTATACCAGCCTCCTGGCTCTGGTTTTCTGAAAATGTTTATCTTTGAAAGTCTTCTTCTCCATCAGAGTTCAGAAAAGGAACGGGTTAAGGAGGCCAGGAACCCAGAGATGAATGTATTCCTCTGAATTGGTCCTTTTTCCAGGCAGAGAACAAAACAGGTTTTCGATTGGGCTGAATCTGAGATAACTGTGCAAACACAGGTGCCCTGATAAATGGGGGAACCCCCCCCCCAAAAGAATAAAATCTTGGATATAAAACTTCTCAAACCCTTTACTGGTCTCATGAAAAGATTTGTTCCGGGTGTAAGGACCCACCCCACTTTGCATCTTAAGAAGACAGAACTCTTGGAATAATTCTTCCAACAGGAATCCTTTATTAAGAAGAAGTGGTTGCAGGCATGCTAGACAGGACTTGGGGTCCAAGCTCTCCCATTCAAGGTTTTAAGGGGTTCCCCAGCAGTCCCACCCAATCACCCCCCCCCCTTCCAGTGATAGTTTCAGGCATCACAATTCCACCCCCTTGCTCCTTTCTTTCGTCTGTATGGAGACTTCAGATAACTACATGAAAGGTAAATAGCTCTCTTTGTTATGGTAAGGTTCTTTGATGCTATTTACATTCAAAGTCTCTCTTGATGTTGCAATAAACACATTCAGCTTCTTAGAAGTCTACTGAAGGAAGTGAGGGCCATAAAGCCCCTTTGTTCTCCCCCTTCTCTCCCTCTTATGGCAGAATCCAGAGAAGGCAGAATTGGGAGTTTCTATATTTGATAATTAAAGATGAAATATAATTGGATTCTGACACCGGGCCTCGTTTTGCACCCAAATTGTTCCCCAGGACGCAAAAGTAACGCTGCCCAGATTTCGAGAAAGAAAGATTTGCACAAGGTTTCAAGCACGCAAATGACACCTCCTACAAAAACACACAGTCTGGTTGATTGAGATCAGAAAGAATATGAAATAAAAATGGAAGTGGAAGTTATGTTGTAAATAGATGTAAATATGTATTTAAATATGTAAATAGTATAAAATGCAATATGTAAATGGTATAAAAGATCAATGATAAAAAGATATATGTTATAATATGTATGGCAAAATAACAACCAGAAAAGTCACACTGTGTTCAACCTGTTTTTAAATGTTTACTTAATCAAAATTTATATATATATAAAAAACACACACACACAATCCGGTTAAGCAGCTTTTTAGAGACATTGATTGATTTAATATTTAGGACTTAGATTCATAATGGACATTAAAACCGTTAGATTATAGCTTTAATGGTGGTTATATGGAAATGGATTTGTGATAATAAGAGGTATTTTATTAGTAAATGAAGAGCTACTAGGATGAGAAATAGAATATATTGGTGAATAAAGTAAGAATGTAAATTTTGGAACAATACATGTGTTCTAGTCACGATAATTAGCTTATAATGAAAGGAGGGAAATTAAGGCTATCCGAAGCCTCAACATTGGTTATAAAAGGCTAAACTGGAATACGGTAATTGGAATTAAGTAACACTTAAAAACAGGACTTGGATATGTGTAAGTGAATGCTCCAACACTGGAGGTTTTTAAGAAGAGACTGGACAGCCATTTGTCCAAAATGGTATAGGGTTTCCTGCCTGAGCAGGGGGTTGGACTAGATGACCTCCAAGGTCCCTTCCAACATTATTATTATTATTATTATTATTATTATATTAGTAAAATGTTATTGATAAAGGTATTGATTGATTGAGCTTTAGCTAGAAATGTACTAACATGAATATGATATATTCAGATTTCTTTTTGCTGACAAAGAGTTAAAGAATTAAGTGGGAGACTAGCATAGCTATTTCAGGCTCATTAGCTCTCATCAGCTAGCCACATCCTTCAGCAGTGTTTCTCAACCTTGACAATTTTAAGGCACGTGGACTTCAACTCCCAGAATTCCACAGCCAGCATTGCTGGCTGTGGAATTCTGGGAGTTGAAGTCCACGTGCCTTAAAATTGTCAAGGTTGAGAAACACTGCTTTATGGGATTTGAATCTAGGAAGTTGTATTAACCACCAGGCCACCGGCTCTCCTCCCCTCTTTGTCAGCCGAGTCAAGGGAGTATATACAGAAAGTTTTTCAGACAGACCGGTCTGATAGATTGCACCTTGGCATTTTTGACTACTATACTGCAGTTCTACTTTTTTATATATATATAAAATCACTTTTGCCTTGCCTTCAGAAATCTGAATTTGTAATGTATCGCAGTAGCGACTTGAGCCTGCTTAATGCCCCTAGTTTGGGGGAGGGGGGGGCTGCAAGGCAAAAGTGATTATAAAAAAATAAAATAAAAATAGAACTGCAGTATAGCAGTCAAAAATGCCAAGGTGCAATCAATCAGACCGGTCTGTCTGAAAAACTCTCTGAATATGATATAATATTTAAGGGAAATAGAGAGAGAACCTTGAATGATGTAACTTGAGATAGATAGATAGATAGATAGATAGATAGATAGATAGATAGATAGATAGATAGATAGACAGACAGATAGACAGACAGATAGATAGATCGATCGATCTTTGGTTATTCGGGTTTTCTCCCGCGTCAAATTGGAAGTGTCTTGGTGACGTTTCGACGAAGTCTCATTCGTCATCTTCAGGCTGGTGTTTTCGGCTTCGTGCTTCTAGGAGCAATGAAGCCGAAAACACCAGCCTGAAGATGACGAATGAGACTTCGTCGAAACGTCACCAAGACACTTCCAATTTGACGCGGGAGAAAACCCGAATAACCAAAGACCTACATACAAACACCCCGCGAAAACCTCCGAAAACATATATATGTGTGTGTGTGTGTGTGTGTGTGTGTGTGTGTGTGTGTGTGTGTGTAGGTCTTTGGTTATTCGGGTTTTCTCCCACGTAAAATTGGAAGTGTCTTGGCGACGTTTCGACGAAGTCTCATTCGTCATCTTCAGGCTGGTGTCTAGAAGCACGCACCAGCCTGAAGATGACGAATGAGACTTTGTCGAAACGTCGCCAAGACACTTCCAATTTTACGTAGGAGAAAACCAGAATAACCAAAGACCTACAAACACCCGCGAAAACCTCAGAAAACACACACACACAAACACACACACACATGAAGGATTCTGTTATTGGGCTATTGATTACCCTATCATCATGCTGCTTCCTAATCACTTGGTTGTAAAAATCTGAAAAATTAATAAAACTTGTAATTTAAAAACAAAACAAAAAAAACAACCACCACCACACAATCTAACTAACACTTGCCACCCTTCGCCATGGGGGACAGTGAAAGAGCCCGCAAAGGGACACCGGGGAGACCCATCAAGAGAGAAACTTACACGACTGATCGGAGGAGATGTTGTGCGGGACCAGGACAAAGTCATCCGTGTCACAGGAGGAATTCTTGCTACTGGTGCTGGCAGAATCTTTGGATACCTGAAGGTAATTCGGAGGCCCCAAGGGAGGTGAAGACAGGTTGTCTTCTTGGATGTGCTGCATATCTGGAAGGGACTGGAGAGAAGATGGAGGAGTCAGAGGTCACAGGTTAGCAAAGGCAGGTGGGGGAACTCCCACCGGTTATCTCCCTACAGCAGTGCTGTCCGATCCTTGGCAACATACAAGACCCGTGGACTTCGTCTCCCAGAATTCCCCAGACAGCCAGATTGAGACTTTGGAAAAAGTACAGAGAAGAGCAACTAAGACAGGGGTCTTCAAACTTGGCCCTTTTAAGACTTGTGGACTTCGACTCCCAGAATTCCTCAGCCAGAGGAAACGAAGACGGTTAAGGGCCTGGAGACAAAAACATCTGAAGAACGGTTGCAGGATTTGGGTATGGCCAATCTAGAGGAAAGGGGTGACGGGATAGCAGTGATCCAGTAGCTCAGGGGCTGCCCCAAAGAAGAGGGAGTCAAGCTATTCTCCAAAGCGTCTGAAGGCAGGACAAGAAGCAACGGATGGAAACTAACCAAGGAGAGAAGCAAACTAGAACTAAGGAGAAACTTCCTGACAGTGAGAACAATTAACCAGTGGAACAACCTGCCTCCAGAAGCGGTGAATGCTCCAACGCTGGAAGTTTTTAAGAAGAGACCGGACAGCCATTTGTCCAAAATGGTATAGGGTTTCCTAGGGGGTTGGACTAGGTGACCTCCAAGGTCCCTTCCAACTTTATTATTATTATTATTATTATTAAGGTCTCCTGTCTGAGCAGGGGGCTGGACTAGAAGACCTCCAAGGTCCCTTCCAACTCTATTCTGATTGACTTACAACTGATCCTCAGACTGCGGCAACCAGCATGGATGTGTAACAGTTGTAGTGTCCCAGGATCATCTGATCGTTATTTGCAATCTTCCCAGCTGGCTTCCGACAAATCAAACGTCAACAAAAGGAAGCCAGACTCACTTAATGATGTGACTCCCTTGACAACCAGAAAGTTTTGCTTAGCAACCATGTGTGAACGTTGCTAACATCGGATGTTTTCTTGCTTTGACAACAGATGGAAATGTAGCCATTTTCTCTATTGGTTTTAGAGTTAGTTGATGCTGGGAGGGGGGATGTGGATGAGAGTGCAGCTAGCTGTAACAGTAATAACTCAGCCGTGGGAACCCAAGGTCATTGGGCCCAGAGCTGATAGTTTTGGTGGGCTGGAGAGCTGGGGAGAAAGCTTGGGCTTCAAGCTAATTGGGGAATGTGATTTATGACAGTTTATTGGAGGAGGGAATTGTGCTTTGTTACTTTGTATCCAGGGGAAGGGAATTTAGTTTCTGGTTTCAACTATGTAGTGCCCATACTTTGTTTCCCGAATAAAAGATTCTTTAAGGTAAACAATGCCTCGAAGTTCTTTTGAAGAGTTTCATCTGTCAGAACCATGACACCATGGCCCAAAAGCCAGAAAGGGGCATTTTACTTACTTTGGTGGTTATTCCTCTCCACTGTACACATTGCACAACCTCAAAGTCAGCGCCCCAGAAAACACTTTCTTTCAAATCTTTGTGACTAGCATTTCCCCCAAAACCACCCCAGTAGCAGATAAATGAAAGCTCTGTTCTTCAACTCGGTAACGTTATTGCTCAACTCTATTTAAAACCAAAGAGCAGCATACACATTTAAGAATAAAACAAAACAGGAAGAATATTTAGAAAAAGGCTGCTTTGGATAGTAGAGGAAGGTCACACTTGGAATACGGCATCCAGTTTTGGTCACCACAATGTAAAAAAGATGCTGAGATTCTAGAAAGAGTGCAGAGAAGAGCAACAAAGATGATCAGGGGACTGGAGGCTAAAACATATAAGGAACGGTTGCTAGAATTGGGTATGTCTAGTTTAATGAAGAGAAGACAAGGGGGACATGATAGCAGTGTTTCCATATTCTCAGGGGCTGCCCAAAGAAGAGGGAGTCAAGCTATTTTCCAAAGCACCTGAAGGCAGGACAAGAAGCAACGGGTGGAAACTAATCAAGGAGAGAAGCAACCTAGAACTAAGGAGAAACTTCCTGACAGTGAGAACAATTAATCAGTGGAACAGCCTGCCTCCAGAAGCAGTAAATGCTCCAACACTGGAAGTTTTTAAGAAGAGACTGGACAGCCATTTGTCCGAAATGGTATAGGGTTTCCTGCCTGAGCAGGGGGTTGGACTAGATGACCTCCAAGGTCCCTTCCAACTCTACTACTACTACTACTACTACTACTACTACTATTATTATTATTATCAATCATCGCACAGTCAGCCAGATGTTCAGACTGGATTTGGCATTTTGTCTACCTATCGAGTCCTTAACCAGGACCTGGGATAGGCAGATGTAGATGTTTGATGGTATTACAGGTATCGTCGCAGGATGGAAGCAGTTCCTAATAAGGCCGCCTTTTGCAATTGACTAATAGCAAATTTGTCAATGCCAATGGTGTTCAAGTGGTGCTCCAGTTGTTTTGGGATTGCACCCAAGGAGCCTATGACTATTGGTACTACCCTTGCTTGCTTTTGCCACAGTCTTTCTATTTCTATTTGTAGGTCTTTGTATTTTGTTATCTTCTCCAGTTCTTTCTCGTCTATTCTGCTGTCTCCAGGCACTGCCACGTCCACTATCCAGACTTTTTTGTCTTTCTTATCGACAATTGTTAAGTCTGGGGTGTTATGTTGCAGGTGCTTGTCTGTTTGAATTCTGAAGTCCCAGAGCAGTTTAATTTTATCATTTTCTATGACTTTCTCTATTTTATGATCCCACCAGTTTTTGCTTACAGGCAAATGATATTTTTTGCAGATCTTCCAATGCACCATTGTTGCTACTTTGTCATGCCGCTGCTTGTAGTCAGTCTGTGCAATCTTCTTGCAACAGCTTACCAAGTGGTCCACTGTTTCTTCAGCTTCTTTGCATAGGCGGCACTTACTGTCTGTTGCTGTCTTCTCAATTTTGACTTTGTATGCATTTGTCCTTAAGGCTTGGTCTTGTGCAGCCAGAATTAGTCCCTCGGTCTCTTTCTTCAATTTTCCTGCTCTTAGCCATTGCCAGGTCTTGTTATTATCTGCTTTCCCAGCTATTTTTTAATGTATTGGCCATGTAGTGCTTTGTCTTCCCATGCCTCTATTCTGTTCTTCATTTGGTCTTTCTTGTAGGCCAGTTTGGTCTCTCCAGTAGTCAGTAAGCCTTCCTGATATACTAATTTCAGTGCATCTTCATCATTGTTCTTCAGATATTCTTCCAAAGCCATTTTTTCTTCTTCAACCATCTGATGTACTTGTAGCATTCCACGCCCACCTATTTGCCTTGGTAGATAAAGTCTATCAATGTCACTGCGTGGATGAAGGGCGTGATTCATTGTCATTATTTTTCTGGTCTGCCTATCCATTGCTTTTAGTTCTGCTTGAGTCCAGTCCACTATTCCAGCTGTGTACCTAATGACTGGGATTGCCCAGGTGTTGATTGCCTTTATGGTATTTCCTCCATTGAGTTTGGATTTTAAGATCTTCTTCACTCTCTTGATGTATTCACCTCTAATCTTTTTCTTGACTTCAGTGTGCTTGATGTTGTCAGCTTGAAGGATACCCAAGTATTTGTAGTACTCTTCCTCATCCAGACTCTTAATGTTATTTTCGTGGGGCATCTTGATTCCTTCAGTTTTCATTATTTTTCCTTGTTTGATAGTAAGTGTGGCACATTTGTCCAAGCCAAACTCCATTACAATATCTTGGCTATATATACGGACAGTGTTGAGCAGCGATTCTATTTCAGATGATGTTTTTCCATACAGCTTCAGATCATCCATGTAAAGGAGGTGGGATAGTCTGGCAGATGTTTTTGATGTTTGATAGCCATGTCCTGAGTTATTCAGTATTGTTGACAGAGGAAACAGTGCAATAACAAATAGTAATGGTGATAATGAATCTCCTTGAAATATTCCTCTCTTGATATTAACCTCTCCCAGCCTCTCACCATTGATCTGCAACTGTGTCTTCCATTGTGCCATCGATCTTTGCACAAATTTTCTGATGTTTCTACTGACTCCTGTTATTTCTAGGCACTTTATTATCCAATCATGTGGCAGAGAGTCAAATGCCTTTTTGTAGTCAATCCATGCCACATTCAGGTTGGTCTTCCTTCTCTTGCAGTTTTCCAAGATCATTTTGTCTATTAGGAGTTGATCTTTTGTTCCTCTGCTATTGGGGCGGTTTCCTTTCTGCTCAGGTGGAAAGAGATTGTTTTCAACTAGATGCTGTTGTACTGCATCAGCTACCACACCAGTTAGTAATTTGAAAGTTGTTGGTAAGCAGGTAATTGGCCTGTAGTTACCTGGTGTTGCCCCTTTTGCTGGATTTTTCATTATTAGGTAGGTTTTCCCAGTTGTTAGCCACTTTTCAATTTCTCCTCCTTGTAGTATATTGTTGAATTGTTTGGCAATGAGTGGGTGTATAACAGTTAGATGTTTCAACCAAAACCCATGCAGTTCATCTTCACCTGGTGCTGACCAATTTTTGATTTTCTTTGCTCTTTTTTCTACCATTTTTGTTGTTATTACTAGTTCTTTCATTTCAACTTCTGTTTTATTTGCATCCACCTCTTTTAACCAAGCCGCATCCTTGTTGTATTTCTTTGGGTTATCCCATATCTGCTTCCAGAACTGCACTGTTTCTTCCTTGTCAGGTACTGACTGATTCCTTGCAGTTTCTCCATTGATGGATTGGTAGAAACGTTTCTGATTGGATTGAAATTGGAGGTTCTGCCTATAGTTTGCAATTCGAGCTTCATATCTACTGATTTTCCTGGCTATAGCTGTTATTTGTTGCTTTATTATTTCCAGTGCTTCCTTGATCTTCCTTGTTTCTAAGTGGTATTTCTTGATTAGGTATTCTTTGGTCTTCTTGTTCTTCAGCTTCTTTTCTTTCATCTGTTCTAGCTTGCTTGCATGTGATCTTAACTTGCTGATCTTATTTTCTAGTCTAACCTTCCATTTTTGTGGTGCACTGTTTGTTTGTTTTTCTTTTTTGTTGATTTTACATCCCAGGTATTCTGTTATAACTGCAGCTGTGCTGTACATTAATTGGTTTGTTTCTTGCAGTGAATTGGTGCTTATACTTGCTATTGCAGTATTTGCATCTTTTAATGCTTGTGCTAGCTGTTCTTTGGAACAAGCTTCAATGCAGGCAGCCTTATTCTGTTGTTTTTGTGCTGTTCTAGATGCTCAGTTATTCTTTGTTTCAATTCTTTTATTTCTTTAGTTAGAGGGTTTTGTTCTTCCTGAGGAAGAGGTGCCTGGTTTCCAAATGAGAACAGTTGTATATCTCTACTGGATTCTTTCACTGCCAACTACCCCTGGTTTGCCTCTACATTCTGAATTACTTCTGGTAAGGCTTTGATTTCTTTGCCCTGGGTAAACCTTTGCAGTTCGTCCAATTCTGTTTCTGTGAATACTTTATTTCGTGTTATAAATCGGCGTTGATCTGCTAGTCTCTGTTCTGTTATTTCTGATTCTGGATGTTGTTCTTTCCAGAACTGGTGCATTCGTTTTAGATATCCTCTTCTTGTTGGACTTGATCTGTAGTAACAGATCATTATTTCTTTGTTTTCCATCACTGTGTATCTGCGACGGGTAAACACCTTTTCTTCCAGTAGTTCTGCAGCTGCTGGCCCTGGTTGCTCAGCCAACAGTCCTGAGTCCTGTAACCCATTTTTCACCAGATATCCAGGAACTCCAATATCTAGTGCGGACCTTGTTAACCCGGGCGACGTCCGAGCCGGTATGGCATTCTGAAATTTACGTCTCACCATATTTTTTATGGGAGAGACACTCTTTGTCTGACTCCTCTGATGAGACCTGTCCAGTATGGTTGAACCTCTGGCATAGCTCTCATCTTCCTCAGAGTACACAAGCCCCACAAACCACGTCAAGGTAGTGCCTTTTATTATTATTATTATTATTATTATATTATTATTATTATTATCTATTATTATTATTATTATTATTATATCTGCCTCCAGAAGTGGTGAATGCTCCAACACTGGAAGTTTTTAAGAAGAGACTGGACAGCCATTTGTCTGAAATGGTATAGGGTTTCCTGCCTGAGCCGGGGGTTGGACTAGATGACCTCCAAGGTCCCTTCCAACTTTATTATTATTATTATAGTACAGTTTTTCAGCCTCTCATCCTTGCCGGCTCATGTTTTGCGCTCCAAGATCACTTCACTTTAGCTCTCATTCGTATCCTGCCTTTATTATTTTTTACAAATAACCCATATCTAACACATTCCTCCTCCTCCTATTTTCCTCCCAATAACATCCCTGTGAGGTGGGGGGGGATTGGTCCAAGATCACCCAGCCCAGTGCCATGTCTACGGCAGGATTAGAACTCACCGTCTCCTGGTGATGGTCCCAAAGTCCCCCAGCTGGCTTTCATGCTTGAGACGGGACTAGAATTCACCGTCTCCTGGTGATTGGCCCAAAGTCACTTAATCGGCCTTCGTGCTCGATGGGACTAGAACTCAATGTCTCCTGGTGACTGGCCCAAAGTCACCCAGCCAGCTTTCAAGGCTAAGAGATGGGACCAGGAATCACGGTCTCCTGGTGATTGGCCCAAAGTCATTCAATTGGCTTTCGTGCCTAAGGCGGGACTAGAACTGGTAAAACTGGTGCTTGTTTATATTTCCTTATTTTGAAAGCTGTAAGGAATATAATGTTCCCAGCAAGGACTGCTGCAAAAGTGTACAAGCGCTCAGAATTTTAAAACGTTGTGTTTTATCCGGAGAAACAAATATTGTAACAACTGTTCAAAATAAGGACTGCATGCTAGGGAAAGGCAAAGCACGTGTCAGGGCTAGAATGGGAAGGTTCTCATTTTGGTTTGGACTATACCGGTCCGGTACTGATTCACTAACTTGAGAGGAAGACGTACAGTATGTCATTTCCCCCTTTTTCGCACTGTCTCCTGGTGATTGGCTGGTTTTCATGGCTAAGGCGGGACTAGAACTCCCAGTCTTCTGATGATTGGCCCAAAGTCACCCAGCCAACTTTCATGGCTAAGGCGAAACTAGAACTCCCAGTCTCCTGGTGATTGGTCCGAACTCACCTAGCTTTCATGGCTAAGGTGGGACTAGAATTCCCAGTCTCCTGGTGATTGGCCCAAAGTCACCCAGCCAGCTTTCATGGCTAAGACGGGACTAGAACTCCCAGTCTTCTGGTGATTGGCCCAAAGTCACCCAGCCAGCTTTCATGGCTAAGGCAGGACTAGAACTCCCAGTCTCCTGGTGATTGGCCGAAAGTCACCCAGCCAGCTTTCATGGCTAAGGCGAAACTAGAACTCCCAATCTGCTGGTGATTGGTCCAAAGTCACCCAGCCAGCTTTCATGGCTAAGGCAGGACTAGAACTCACAGTCTCCTGGTGATTGGCCCAAAGTCACCCAGCCAGCTTTCATGGCTAAGGCGAAACTAGAACTCCCAGTCTCCTGGTGATTGGCCCAAAGTCACCCAGCCAGCTTTCATGGCTAAGGCGGGACTAGAACTCACAGTCTCCTCCTGATTGGCCCAAAGTCACCCAGCCAGCTTTCATGGCTAAGGCAGGACTAGAACTCCCAGTCTCCTGGTGATTGGCCAAAGTCACCCAACCAGCTTTCATGGCTAAGGCGGGACTAGAACTCCCAGTCTCCTGGTGATTGGCCCAAAGTCACCCAGCCAGCTTTCATGGCTAAGGCGGGACTAGAACTCACAGTCTCCTGGTGATTGGCCCAAAGTCACCCAGCCAGCTTTCATGGCTAAGGCGGGACTAGAACTCCCAGTCTCCTGGTGATTGGCCCAAAGTCACCCAGCCAGCTTTCATGGCTAAGGCAAAACTAAGAGCCGAGGTGGCGCAGCAGTTAGAGTGCAGTACTGCAGGCCACTTTAGCTGACTGTGTTCAGCAGGTCAGCGGTTCAAATCTCACCGGCTCAAGGTTGACTCAGCCTTCCATCCTTCCGGGGTAGGTAAAATGAGGACCCAGATTGTTGGGGGCAATGTAAATATATATATACATTGCTTACTGGTGTACACCGCTTGGAGAGTGCTTGCACTTAAAGCGGTATATAAGTCTCATAAATAAATAAATAAATAAATAAATAAATAAATAAATAAAACTAGAACTCCCAGTCTCCTGGTGATTGGCCCAAAGTCACCCAGCCAGCTTTCGTGCCTAAGGTGTGATTACAACTCGCTGTCTCCTGCTTTCTAGCCTAGTGCCTTAACCATGATTGGACGAAACTGACTCCCATATAGGATTCATTTCCGATACCAATTTACATTTTCAAATTACTCATTAGAACTAGAAATTGTGTTGGAAGGAAGAAATGAAGACTTTGAACGTCTGAAAAAAAAATTCATTAAACCAAAGCATTTTTACTTTTGGCCGATAAGGTTGGACAAGCTTGGGTGCAAATGCAGTTTCCAGCTATGATTCAGGACCTCCTACATTGCTTGTTTGACCTGAATATTCCAAAAGCAAAATACATCCTGTTTGCTCAGCAATCACCCTTCCCCTTAAAGTTCACAAGTAAACACTTGTTGGGTCCAAATACTGCAGCCAATTTTGGTCACCTTATCACAAAAAAGATGCTGATAATAGAATAGAATAGAATAGAATGGAATGGAATGGAACGGAACAGAATAGGAGAGTAGAATAGAATAGAGAATACAATATAGAATAGAATAGAATATAGAATAGAATAGAATATAGAATAAAATAGAATAGAATAGAATATAAAATAGAATGAAAAGAATATAGAATAGAATAGAAAATAGAATAGAGAATAGAATAGAGAATGGAATGGAATAGAATATTCTTTATATGATTGGACACACAAGGAATTTGTTTCTGGTGCATAAATTCTCAGTGTACACACAAGCAACAAGAAGCAATAATAATAATAACAGCAACAACAACAGAGTTGGAAAGGACCTTGGAGGTCATCTAGTCCAACCCCCTACTCAGGCAGGAAACCCTATACCAATTCAGACAACAGGTCATAGATCATAAATCACAGTTACAATCATTAATCATAAGATACAAACAACAAGCAATAAATTATAAGGATAGAAGAAGATATTAGGAAAGATGACAAAAGATGAGAAATGAGAAGAAAGATGATAATAGCCATACAGACTACTATATTTTATTTTATTTTATTTTTAAAATTTATAAGCCGCCCCACTCCCGAAGGACTCTGGGCGGCTAACAATAAAAAACACATAAAACATAACAAAACAATACAAAAACAATCATCCAGGGGTCAGGTTTTATAAACCCCAGGCCTGCCGGAAAAGCCAGGTCTTAAGTCGCTTACGGAAGACCAACAGGGTGGGAGCGGTCCTAATCTCCAGGGGGAGCTGATTCCAAAGCGTGGGCGCCATCACAGAGAAGGCCCTCCTCCGCGGCCCCGCCAAATGGCACTGCTTGGCCGACGGGGCCTGAAGGAGGCCCAGCCTGTGGGATCTAACCGGACATAGGGAACTACGAGGTAGTAGGCGGTCTCGCAAATAGCCTGGCCCTGAGCCATATAGGGCTTTAAAGGTAATGACCAACACCTTGAATTGGACCCGGAGACTATATTGGTCAATTGCTCAGGCTTAAGACAGTGCTGTGGGAATTAAAAATGGAAGCTTAATAAAGAGAGATCCAACCTAGAATTAAGGAGAAAGCTCCTGTTGATGAGAACAATTAATCAGTGGAGGGGACACACTCTTTTTTTTAATAATAATTTTTTTATTTTTTATTCTTCCAGACTCTCCCCCATACATATACCGTGATATTTATCAGATGTTAACATACATTCTTTTTACATTCACATATAAGACGCTTTTAATAAAATGAAATAAATACATACACATGACTTTTGGTGTTGCTCGCCCATTTCCCCTTTCACTGTATCCACACTCCTTCTTCTCTACCTTCTTTCTTGGGGGGGGGGGGGGAGACACACTCTGATGCACAGAAAATGCCCATCCATCTGCCCCCCCCCCAGAAATACAAAGAATCAATTTTCCAGAACTTACCGGGGGAGAAGCAAATCGACAGGAGGGAGAACTGCCACAGGATCCTGCAGAGACGGACCCAGCCGGTGCTGGAACAGGTACGGGACAAGCTGAATGGAGGGGAGACAAAAAAAAAGACAGAAATGTCATCACAGACAGGTGGGCTCCAAAGAACGAACAACTGCAGGATACCTGGGCAGATGCATGCTCTGCAGGATCTGAAAAAGATGGGCTGCGGTCTAGACTAGGGGTCTCCAAAAGTGGCAACTTTTAAGACTTTTGGACTTCAGCTCCCAGACAGGGATAGATAGGCAAAGCATCTTTCGGGACGAGAATGCAAATGTTCTCATTTTGGTTTGGACCACAGCGGTCCGGTACCGATTCACTAATTTTTCAGAGGTTTGGGAGGCAGGTGTACAGTATGGCATCTATACACACACACACACACACACACACTTTTTTTTTTTTTTTGCAAACTCATTGTCCTACTACAGAGTGTGCAAATACTGAGGAAGCCTGTCCCAAAGGTGCTTTTTTTCCAAGAAGTAACTGGACTTTTCTTGTTTTTCTTCGAAGACGTTTCGCTTCCCATCTAAGAAGCTTCTTCAGCTCTGCCTGGATGGTGGGGAAGGGAAGGATTTATACTCCTTGCAGACAGCCGGTCCTTTGCCTTCTTTTAGAGCAGGGGTTTCTCAACCTTGGCAACTTTAAGACTTGTGGACTTCAACTCCCAGAATTCCTCAGCCAGCAAAGCTGGCTGAGGAATTCTGGGAGTTGAAGTCCACAAGTCTTAAAGTTGCCAAGGTTGAGAACCCGTTTTAGAGAGTCATTGAAGCCACTTGGAGACTTGTCTGTGTCCTCAGGGTCACCTGAGTGGTGCAAAGGGGTGTGGAGCCTCCTGGCTGCAGGATGCTTTTGTGTGAGCCTAAGACCAAGAGGCCATCTGTGTCAAAATTGAACCGCTCTCTCTCAACAGAAGGGGAGGGACACAACACAGTCTGTTCAGCAGTCCCAAGAAGGCTCCACACCCATTTGCACCACTCAGGTGACCCTGAAGACGCAGATAAGCCTCCAGGTAGCACTAACGACTCTCTAAAGCAGACATGTCAAACACAAGGCCCGGGGCCCGGATGCGGCCTGCGAAGTGGTTTCATGTGGCCCGCGAATCCGTCCTGGAAACAGTGAGGGAATGGCCCCCGCTGCCTTGGCCTTGGCCCAGGCCGGCCGGGAGCCAAGTACAATTCTGTGGTGGCCATTTATGCTGAAACGCATTCAGTCTTAGCTCCACAAGGACGTCTGGAAACAGCGAGGAACCAGCCCCTGCCGCGTCGACCCCGTCCCCTGGGTGCATGCTGGGGAGGTGTCGCCCTTTGTGAGGAATGAAGAAATGCACCATGGCCTGGAAGTGGCCAGCAAATGGCCCTCGCCTACTTCACCTATCCGGCTTGATGGGCTCTGCCCTGGTCCCCCCCCCTTCTGCCAGAGACCCTCAGATCTGTCCCACTCCTGCCCAGGCCCCCACAAGCCCCCTTGACGCGAATGATGTAGAGCTGGCCATGCCCACCCAGTAGGCCACACCCACTCCATCCACGCCCACCCAGTAGGCCACACCCACTCCATCCACACCCACCAAGTCGGCCGCACCCACCCTGCCCCCCCCCGGGGCAACTGCAATACTGATGCGGCCCTCAATGACATTGAGTTTGACACCCCTGCTCTAAAGGGATGCAAAGGACCGGCTGTCCGCAAGGAGTATAAATCCTTCTATCCACCACCCTCCAGTCAGAGCTGAAGAAGCTTCTGGGATGAGAAGCGAAATGCCTTCAAAGAAAAACAAGGAAGTCCAGTGGCCTCCTTTGGGACAACCTGGAGGGCAAAGAATCTCCACTGACCGAAGGAACCCGGTAACGAAACATTCGGAAACCGACCCACAAGCTCGGAGAACGAAGCTTCGCCCTCGCTTGAGAAGATAAACAAGACAGGGAAGCCCTCGGTTAACAACTGCTCGTCCAGTGACTGTTCAAAGTTACGACAGCCCCGGACGAGAGGGACTTACGACCTTGACGTTCCAGCCATCCCAGCGGCTCTGCGATCAGGATCGGGGCACGTGGGAATCGGCTTGCACTCGTGACCGTGGCAGAGTCCTTTGCTCACGCGATTCACCCTTTGTGACCTTCCCTGTCGCAGAGTCAGTGGGGAAGACGGCGGGAAAGCTTGTGGGTTGTCTGGGGAAGTCTCCCCTACGTGTGCACGTCCCCGCCCAGCCCTTCTGCGTTCACGGCCTGACAGCCACGCACACGTCCACCCGGCAGCAGCCCTGCCACACTTGTGTGCTGCCAGGCACGCGCCCCTCGGGTACAGATAGTCCTCAACTTACGACAGTTTGTTTTATTGGCCTTGTGAAGTTGCAACAGCACTGAAAAAAGGGACTTTTTTCCACACTTACAACCGTTGCAGCATCCCTCATGGTCACCTGAACAAAATTCAAACGCTTGGCAAGTGACTCGTATTTATGACGGTTGCCGTGTCCCGGGGTCATGTGATCAACTTGTGTGACCCTCTTGACAACCAGCAAAGTCAAGGGGGAAGCCAGATTCACTTAACAGCCGGGCTACTAACGTAACAACTGCAGTGATTCGCTTAACAACGGTGACAAGAAAGGTCGTACCACGGGGCAAAACGCACTCAACTGCCCTGCTTAAGAACGGAAAGGTTGGACCCCATTAACGAGGGTGGCAAGTCGTAAAATGGGGCAAAACTCATCTAAGCACTGTCCTGCTTTAGCAAAAAGCAGCTGTTGGGGGCTCAATGGGGGTCGTAAGTTGAGGACTACCTCTATAACAAATAAACCACCAAACTGTTAACCCACAGCAATGGTCTTGATTAATTAAAAGGACACTGTCAGAATCCAATTATATTTCATCTCTAGTTATCAATTATAAAAAAACCCATTTCTGCCTTCTGTGGATTCTGCCATACGATGAAGGGAATGGGGTGAACAAAGGGGCTTTATGGCCCTCACTTCCTTCAGTACACTTCAAAGGAACTGGATGTGTGTATCGCCAAAAGAACTAACCATAAGAATGGGGCTATTACCTTTCATGTAGTTTTCTCTGAAGAAAGGAACTGGATGTGTGTATCGCCAAAAGGACTAACCATAACAATGGGGCTATTACCTTTCATGTAGTTTTCTCTGAAGTCTCCATCCAGCCAGCAGTAAGGAAAAGGGGGTGGGAGTGTAATGCCTGAGACTGTCGCTGGAAGAGGGGGGGTGATTGGTTGGGGCTACTGGGGAACCCCTTAAAACCTTGAATGGGAGAGCTTGGACCCCAAGTCCTGTCTAAAACGCCTGCAACCGTTTTCTCTTAATAAAGGATGCCTGTTGGAAGAATTATTCCAAGAGTGCTGTCTTCTTAAGATGCAAAGTGGGGGGGGGGTCCTTACATTAGACGGGACTTGGGGACACACATCAGCGCTAAAAACATTCCCTTTGAAATCAGTCAAGAGGGAAACAGGCAAATCTGCCGGAAGAGATTTAGCCTCCCATCCTAAAGGCCTTACGAAAAGCCCAAAAGGGCCCATTTGGGAAGGACATTTCGGCTTACATTTTTTGACCGTCGAAACTTGATCCAGGAACGGGTGACTGAAGAAAGTTTCTGCAAGAGAAAACAAACAGCCATCACAAACCGAGTTCAGCGTTGCCTTTACCATCAAAGCCCGCTCGGGCCTAGAGTTGCGTTCACACAGGTTTAGGCAAAACGTTGCCAAAGGCAGAGGCAACGCAGTTTTGGAACGGAAAAAGTAGCCTGGGATTTTTCAAGGAGGCATGCCCACCCCTTTGGCTTCGCTCAGTGACCGGCCAGTGATATTGAGTGATCTTTTTGCACAGCTGGAATCTCTTCTGGTGTCTTGTGACTGACACTTCCCAGCTGGTAGGGAGATGCCATCCTAATGCATCCAGAGAAGACCGGAGAGGTTTCTGTTTATTACATCAGTGTTTCCTAATGTGAGCCATTTTCAGAGGCGTGGACTTCAGCTCCCAACTTCTACATTTAGGCAAGAAAAACCAAATGGACAGGTATAGTATAGGGGGTACCTTGCTCAATACTAGCAACTGTGAGAGAGATCTCGGAGTCCTAGTGGACAATCACTTAAATAATATGAGCCAGCCGTGTGCTGCAGTTGCCCAAAAAGCCAACCCAGTGCTAGGCTGCATTAACAGAGGGATAGAATCAAGATCATGCGAAGTGTTAATATCACTTTACAAGGCCTTGGTAAGGCCACACTTGGAATACTGCATCCAGTTTGGGTCACCACGATGTAAAAAAGATGTTGAGACTCCAGAAAGAGTGCAGAGAAGAGCAACAAAGATGATCAGGGGACTGGAGGCTAAAACATATAAGGAATGGTTGCTGGAATTGGGGATGTCTAGTTTAACGAAGAGAAGGACGAGGGGTGACATGTTAGCAGTGTTCCACTATCTCAGGGGCTGCCCCAAAGAAGAGGGAGTCAAGCTATTCTCCAAAGCGCCTGAAGGCAGGACAAGAAGCAACGGATGGAAACTAATCAGGGAGAGAAGCAACCTGGAATTAAGGAGAAACTTCCTGACAGTGAGGACAATTAACCAGTGGAACAACCTGTCTCCAGAAGCAGTGAATGCTCCAACACTGGAAGTTTTTAAGAAGAGACTGGACAGCCATTTGTCTGAAATGGTATACCTGCCTGAGCAGGGCAGGGTCAGCCTGCAATGCTGCATTATAACCACTGTGACACCAAGGCTTCCTTCCTTCCTTCCCTCCCTCCCTAAATATTAGCACTTAGATTTATATACTGCTTCACAGTGCTTTATAGCCCCCTCTGAGCGGTTTACAGAAATAATGATGATGATGATGATGTTGGAAGGGACCTTGGAGGTCATCTAGTCCAGTGGTTCTTAACCTTTTTGAACGAATCGCCCCCTTGAGCCAATGAGGAAGTTGTCATCGCCCCCCTCCCCCAACATAACCCCCTCAATCACAACATAGGAAATAATTCTTCAATTTATGCAAACACTTTTTTTTTTGTTTTCTTTAAAATTTTCATCAGGACATTATCGATGCAAATAATTTATTTCCAGTCTTTTCCCCATATCTCCCCTATTCTGGCTAATGGCGCACCACTGTATGGGTAGAGGCTGCTGCGCAATGCACATGAACATAAGCAATGCATATTCACATATGTAGGGTGTTCTGTACTGAAGCTAGCTAGAGGAACATTTGGAAACACAATTCCATCCACTAAGAGCGAGCGATCTGATGTTTTTGTACGACAGAGATACAGCCGTTCACTGTAGGAAAAAGTCTCAAAAGTGTCCCCAAAACTTCTCGCTCCATCGCCCCCATTTCGTTCTTTCGCCCCCCTGAAAAATGAAATCACCCCCTGGGGGGCGATATCGCCCAGGTTAAGAACCACTGATCTAGTCCAACCCTAACCCATTTCCGACAAATCAGCCTGTTTGCCCCCAACAATCTGGCTCCTCATTTTACCCACCTCGGAAAGATGGAAGGCTGAGTCAACCTTGGGCTGGTCAGGATCAAACTCCCTAGCTGTGGCCAGACCACACTGCCTTCTAACCACTGCGTCACCACAGCTGTAAGCCGAGGACTGTCGGAACTGTGGTGATTTCGTTTCAATGGACCCAAGAATCACAGGCCTGCTGCCCTGAATTTCACTAAGGGCGAATTTGTGCAGACGCAGCGTTCTTGCCAAGACCATTTTCCTCCATTTAATAGAGAAGGAGAGGCCTATCAATTCTCTGAGCTGCTGAAGGTGAATCAAATCGATAAAGAGGGCATCTGGATTGCAGTCTGAATCGGACAGTGTTTCAGCATTAAGGTGACGCATCCTGGAGCAAGGAAGACAAGAAGCAACGGAGGGAAACGAACCAGAGAGAGAAGCAACCTGAAACTAAGGAGAAAATTCCTGACAGGGAGGACAATCAACCAATGGAACAGATTGCTTCCAGAAGTTGTGGGTGCTTCATCACTGGAGGTTTTTAAGAAGCGACTGGACGGCCACTTGTCTGAAATGGTATAGGGTTTCCTGCCTGAGCAGGGGGTTGGGCTAGATGACCTCCAAGGTCCCTTCCCACCCTAGGATTCTATGATGAAGGAAGGAAGGAAGGAAGGAAGGAAGGAAGGAAGGAAGGAAGGAAGGAAGGAAACCAATCAAGGAGAGAAGCAACCTGGAATTAAGGAGAAATTTCCTGACAGTTAGAACAATTAACCAGTGGAACAACCTGCCTCCAGAAGTAGTGAATGCTCCAACCCTGGAAGTTTTTAAGAAGAGACTGGACAGCCATTTGTTTGAAATGGTACTATAGACTTTCTTTCCTGAGCATGGGGGTTGGACTAGATGATCTCCAAGATCCCTTCCCACCCTAGGATTCTATGATGAAGGAAGGAACGAAGGAAGGAAGGGAAGGGAAGGAAGGAAATGGATGGAAACCAATCAAGAAGAAAAGCAACCTAGAACTAAGGAGAAACTTCTTGACAGTTAGAACAATTAATCAGTGGAACAATTTGCCTCCAGAAGCAGTAAATGCTCCAACCCTGGAAGTTTTTAAGAAGAGACAAGACAGCTATTTGTCTGAAATGGTATAGGCTTTCCTGCCTGAGCAGGGGGTCAGACTAGATGACCTCCAAGGTCCCTTCTAACTTTATTATTATTATTATTAACAACCTGCCTCCAGAAGCTGTGAATGCTCCAACACTGGAAGTTTTTACGAAGAGACAGGACAGCCATTTGTCTGAAATGGTGTAGGGCAGTGGTTCTCAACCTTTTTAATGCCGCGACCCCCAACCGGTCGTAAGTCGAGGACTACTCAACCGGTTGTAAGTCGAGGACTACTCAACTAGTGCAGCACCGTTTGCAGAATGGGACTTTTGGCGGGCTCATCAGGGCAGAGACAGCCTGGACAATTCCTATTGGCTTTTGAAAGCCAATAGAATTAGACTCTATTCAAGAGAGTCTATTCTATTGGCTTTCAAAAGCCAATAGAATAAAAGGGAATGGCACAACTAAGGAAAAGGGGGGGAAAAATGGCGGACTGCGTTGTTTGGCGACCCCCGTGGAATGGTCGTTCGACCCCAAATGGGTCCCGACCCATAGGTTGAGAACCACTGGTGTAGGGCTTCCTGCCTGAGCAGAGGGTTAGACTAGATGACCTCCAAGGTCCCTTCCGACTTTATTATTATTACTTCTGCTCTTAAAAACTTTAAAAAAAGGACAAAGGCAGCTGTGTTGGTTCGAGGGGGGGGGGCAAAAGCACCCACAATCTATAGCCGGGTAACGCTTTGGTTGGGGCTGTCCAAAAGGACACACAAACACTCACGTAGGGGTGTGGGTGTGTTTATGGGGGTTGTGTTTGCATGGTTTTTTTGGCCTTCTGTTGGAAATAAGTTTCGGCACTTGGCAGCTGAAACGCCTTCTCCCAAAGTGCTACTCTTAAGCAAGCAGAGAGTTCAACCTCTAACCTTCCAGATGGGACGGTAAGACATCCTTTTATTGACAAAAAGTTCCTTGGAACTTCACAGGAAAAAGAGGGTGTTTTTGTGTGTATGGCAAAGATTACGGGGCGGATGCTCTCTGCACGCCTCCCGTAAACCTCCCCCTATTAAAAAACAAAACAAAACACCCTTTGTGTTTTTCCACAGCAAATTGTTGATCAAGCCAATGGGCATGATTAACAAAGCTTAAGCCGAAGTGTGTGTGTATGTGTTTTCTCAAAGCAAACAGCGGCTAGCATCGAGAGCACATGGGCCACCTGGAGCACTTGAAACCCCTGGATGAAAAGATTGTGGACATCCTCAGGCAGAAGAACAGGGCGTTCTGCAATCCAGACAGAACGGTCTGAAAATAATCTGTGCCGGAAAAATACGGGCGTAATTACTGGGGACGAGAACAGAGCGTCCCGTGCGATGAGCTTGCAAGAACCGACGGAGCGACTGCTTTGAAGGGCCGCTCTAAAGATCTCTTATCTTACTGATTAACTTCCATTAACTCGGATCTCAAAGATTGAGCAAGGTTTCCCCTGCGGCTTCCAAATATCGGCCTGTTTTTTGTGGCACTACGATCTAGCCAGTGGTTCTCAACCTTTTTAATGCCGCGACCCCCAACCGGTCGTAAGTCGAGCACTACTCAACCGGTTGTAAGTCGAGGACTACTCAACTGGTGTAGCACCGTTTGCAGAATGGGACTTTTGGCGGGCTCAGCAGGGCAGAGACAGCCTGGACAATCCCTATTGGCTTTTGAAAGCCAATAGAATTAGACTATTCAAGAGAGTCTATTCTATTGGCTTTCAAAAGCCAATAGAATAAAAGGGAGTAGCACAGCTAAGGAAAAGGGGGGAAAAATGGCGGACTGCGTTGTTTGGCGACCCCCGTGGAATGGTCGTTCGACCCCAAATGGGGTCCCGACCCATAGGTTGAGAACCACTGATCTAGCCTCCCAACTATTTTGAAGTCCTCGACTTACGACCGCCAGCAAGGCCAAGATTTCTGTTGCTGAGCGAAAACAGTTGTTGAAGAAAATCTCGCCCCATTCTTATGACCTTTCTGTGGTTAGGTTAGTGACCCGGTTGTTAAATGAATCCGGCTTCTCCACTGACTTTGCTTGT